ATGCCAGGCCAGCAAAACCGTTCTGCTATAAGCTTGATGGTTGCACGAACACCTGGATGAGAAAGTTTGTGCAATGTATTGAAGACATTGCGTCGATAATGTTTCGGCACGATTGGGCGATCCCTACCTGTAGATGTGTCACAAAGTAAGGTTTCCTTACCTGTTCCCATCTGTTTGGTAAGTAGCCTGAGTGTTGTAGACGATAACTCGTGCTGAAGATCAGTATCTTCTTTTTGAAGCTCGGCGAGTTTAAGAAGGTCGATTCCTTGGAAACTGTTCAAGGAAGTTATTGGTGACAAAGCGTCTGCAACTACATTGTTTGCTCCAGAAATATGTTGAATATCTGAAGTAAACTGCGAAATGTAGTCCAGTTGTCGAGACTCACGTAAAGAGTACTTGTCTGAAGAGGAGCTTAACGAGAAGGTAAGAGGTTTATGGTCAGTGAAAAGGGTGAATTCACGGCCTTCGATGTAGTGTTGAAAATGCCGTACAGCACAATACATAGCTAGGAGTTCTCTACCGAATGTGCTGTACCTCGATTCGGTGTCTAGCAACCTTCTAGAGAAAAATGCCAAGGGTTGCCAGGAGTTGTTAACCCATTGTTGTAAGACTCCTCCGATTGCTGAGTCGGATGCGTCTACTGCGATGCTAATGGGTGCTTGAGTGTCCTGATGTGCAAGCATTGTCGCTTTAGCGATAAGTTCCTTAATTGTGGAGAATGCTTTTCGTGCGGTGTCGTCCAAATTAATGGATTTCGCATTTCCACGAAGTTGGTCGGCAAGAGGTTTCATGAGCAATGCGAATTTCGGTATGAATCGTCTATGGAAACTTACAAGGCCGTTAAACGTTCGTAATTGCTTGATCGTGGTCGGTTCTGGGTAATCCAGAATGGCCGCCATTTTGTTTCGAAGGGGTCGGATTCCTTGAGCATCTATAGTGTGTCCTAGGAAGTCTAATGAGTCAGCTCCGATTTGGCATTTATGAATGTTTACAGTAATGCCGTGGTTTTGTGGTCGTTCGAAAACAAGATCCAGATGCTTGAGATGTGATTCTCTGTCCGGACTTGCGATTAGGCAGTCGTCAACATACGCATGTACGAAGTTGAGACCTCGAAAAACGTCGTCTATGAACCTTTGTAATATTTGGGCAGCATTTCTTAGACCGAAAGGCGTTCGCAAAAATTCCTAGAGTCCAAAGGGAGTAGTGATGGCGGCTTTCGGTATGTCGTCCGTGGCCATGGGAATTCGGTTATACGCTTTAACCAAGTCGATTTTCGAAAAGAGAGTTGTACCTTTCAAGGTAGCTGTCAAATCGTGAATGTGAGGCAACGGGTAACGACTGGGAACGGTTTTCGCATTCAATCGCCGATAGTCAACAGTTGGACGCCAATCGTTGCTGTCGTTTTTAGGGAACACGTGCAACGGAGATGCGTATGGGCTATTTGACGGTCGTATGATTCCTCAGTCTATCATGTGATCGAACAGGTGGTCCTGTAGTCGTGATGTGATGTGTAACGTTGCTGGTTACACACGGTAGTTTCGGTTGCGTTTGGTGAACCCCCGGGATACTTATCGAGTAGTGGTTGATAAAGTGGGTCTATCGTATGCTTAATTGTGACTGGAGATAATCTGCAACCAGAAAAAGAAGTTACGCAAACGGATAAATTAGTGTTTCCGTCTACTGGCCTCCGTTTGCGCGTATCGATGATTAGATTATGGTGTTGTAGAAGGTCCATACCAATGATTGGCATAGAAACATCTGCGACAACGAAGATCCAGTGAAAGGGTTTGCGTAAACCCACGTTAAGGTAAACGTACATTTTGCCATACGTAGCGATAGGTTTTCCGTTTGCCGCCTGTCAATTTAAAGCCGATTCGTGAAGCCGGGCGTTGTGATTCGCTGGGAGAACTCTAACTTCTGCGTCAGTGTCGACGAGGTAGCGAACTCTCGTGACGTATAACAAACGACTATGTTCGCCGGCTACGGTTGCCGTTAACGCGTGCCGGCTTGGAAGTTTCCCGAGTTGTTTCTCGAGTCAGTCGGTTTTCATTTGGGAAAATTGCAGGGTTTTCTGCAATTTCTGGAAGACTTTCCATACTGGTTGTGATACTAGCACCAGCCGGGATTATCCGTCTCTCGTGGTCTAGAGAAAGATCGCTTACGTGAAGTGTCTCTACGTGGGGTGTGTGATTGCTTACGGCCGTTACGAAAATTAAGATAACGCGTAAGTGTATGACATAGCTCTGTTATGTCATTCTGAGTCGTTTGAGGCTTTTCTTTGACTGAAAAAACCTCGGTATTAGAAGATTTTGTTATTTCTAAAATAAGATCGGCAGATGCAGCCAGTTCGTCTAAGGCGTTGTTCTGAAACGAGACCAGAACTGCTTGCACCTGTTGGGGAAGTTTGGACAAGAAAAGTTGTTTGAATAGGCCTTCGTCGAAAGTTCTTAGGTCTATCACCTCTCTCATCCTATGCAACATGTCCGTCGCAGAACCGTGTTGCAGGTCTATGTTATTGAAGAGTTGGTCTAACCTTTATCGATCGGTTAGGTCTACTCGTTTAAGGATAGAACGCTTTAAGGTTTTGTACGTTTCAGAAACATCACTAGTAAACATACCAGGTGTTACGTATCTGTTGAATTCCTGCGGTAGTGTCTTGACTAAAGCGAGAAATTGTGTACGTGTGTCGTTCACGCCGTGCTCGTGGAAGTCGTCTTCTGAGTTGCGGAACCAGGCTTCGATATTGTCGGGCCAGAAGGGCATGAGTTGGAATGAGGGTGGGGGCATGGTCTTAATCTTAAAATCCTTAGGAGTCTGTTCGGTCATAGTGGAATATCAAGTACGAGAATACACAAGGGAAAAATATATAGATATCCAAAAACGCGGGGAAAAATATCACAATGTATGAAAAATTAAAATAAAGCAATGATATATAGAATTCCCAAAATGGAACAGACTCACAGTTTATGATTTGGTGTACCAGATCACGTCGGTCTCACCAATGAAGATGGCACAGGTATTCAGTGTTTGACAACGCTTTTACCAGCAACACCTTCTAATATAATTCGTACCCACCAAGAGAAATTAAGAGACGGAGTCGAGGAGATCGGATGAGTGTATTTCGCGATTACCAATATATCGGAATCATCTGATCTAATCTGGCTAGCGATTGCGGTAGATGTTGAACACAGCGTTACCATACGTGATCTGGTGCGGATGCCTGATCGAGCGTCTTCAGCTAGGTGAGTTCACTAGAACTAATCTGGTCAACATCCAATGTCGAAAACTTACAGAGCTATTTATTTTGGGGATTTATTTACCGCTACAGTAAATACAAAACGAAACGGGTGAGATACTTGATTGTTGCAGTAAGGCCTCATAACCTATAATGATGAAGGCAACATCAATATCTTTGGGGATCGATGCAATTTTAAACTCATCGAGTGTTTTTTCATCTTGCAGTGAAAAATGATTTGTACAGATCTAGTCTGTCGAATTACATGCGAATATTTTTACGGGCGTAACCCCGTTTTCTTGCCCTAAAAATGTATATATCAAAGCTAGTTCTTTCTTGGTTGCCAGGATAACCGCTACATATCAACAGACATGCCAGAATCTACATCTAAAAAGAGAGGAGCAATTTTATCATAAATACTATGATTTTTGTGATCTTCATCCATCGTCAGACTGGCTAAATATGCGAAAAGCTGAAAACAGTGCTAAGGTGGACACACACGACAGAACTCGAAGACCTGAAACACAGAAGACTAGCCTTAAACAGAGCTGTTCAATATTGTTAAAATGCAAGAGAGGGAAACTTGAGTAGCACGCCTGATACGGTAAGCACGACAAGATAGAGATATCCAGTGATTTACGACTATTGATTGGTCGGATCGACACATTTAACTGGGCATTGCTTTTAGTTGGTAGCTAATGGGACGGACGATTTATAAACATCTCACTGAGAGATTTACTCTAGCCAACTGGTCGTGTTGCACACTTCATTCCTTTGACTTCGGTTCCAACTGTCTGATTGTCTCCATATAACACTTATGTCATTTGTGATTGTTGTCGGTAGTTTTTATTAATAAATGTGAGTGCATTGTATTTGCTTACTTAGACAGTGGATCAGTTTGTTTCGTTGTTTTCTCTTAGATTCACACGAGCACGCTGCTGTGTACACCTTAACATAGCGTCAGGCTGCATATAAACCTACCGGGGGCTGTGGGTTACTCGTGATGTCCAATATATACCACCCATACAGAGTCCTTGGCTTATGTTCCTCAGATGTACCTTTTGTTGTAAAATATATACCAAACTCAGGTGCATATTATGCTGTAGTTCCCACAGGAGAACGGTTTAATATATATAAAGTAGGTCTGATGCCGAATAAGATTTAATTCCTAACCTAAGCTTCCAAGACTGACTCTTATTGGGACAAGTAAGCAATTATGCTTTAATAATAATTCTTGATAGGCGATCCTCTTGAATCCCCAATTAAGTGTTTCACTTCTTGTGGTAACGTTCTAGTTGCTGCTTCTGGAGAAACGATTTATGTCTTTCGTAATTCTCGTTATCTGCTACAAAGACTTCAGCACCATACAAATATAATCACCCACTTGTGCTCTCTAGAGGATTCGTTTCTGGTTTCAGTTGATGAAGGCGGTCTTACTCAAGTATGGAACAGTAAATCTTGGGTAAGAACTCATTGACAACTAGAGTATTTTACAGAGATTGTGTCTCACATAAAATTCTCGACAAAGGCTTTCTGTGTTACATCACTGATTAGTCCCATTAATTACAAAAATAAAATACTTTTTGGAAGCTGTCAAGGTTCGTTGCAATTGTGGGACGTCGTATCTAAGAAGTTAATCTACTGGTTCAAAGGATTTGATTCTGCTGTGACGTGCCTACAGCAAGCCCCAGCGTTTAACGTCTGTGCTATCGGTCTTGCCGACGGACGCGTTGTCATTCACAACCTGAAATATGATATTACATTAATGACCTTTGCTCAAGATGGTGGAGCGATTACATCTATTGGCTTTAGAAGCGGTATGTTTGGTTTAATACTATAGACATAGTAATTTGTTAAGTTTTGAAAATTTTCAGTATGTAATACATCATTTCCTCACATGACTTATAAGCATGATTAGGCATGTCTGCTCGTCGTGTTTACCAAAACCAAATAAACATGTGGCAAGTTATTGTCAGTCCTCAGACACATTGATATTGGTACAAGGAGGCACCTAATACATATGCGCCACATAAATCTCATCTGATTTGTGTGAGGGCTGTGATACTGACCAGGTGCCCTAACTGAAGCAGGTGGTTTTCTTAGGGGTTCACACCCGGAGCCTATGGCCCAGAGGTCTGACCCACAAGGCAGTGGAGCAGCGTAATCAGATGCAGTCCGATGATAGTCGGTGATCAACGATTGGTTCATACGCGATTTGTTCCCTCAGGGTACTGGAGTCCATGCGTAACATTGGTTTGGAATCAGGGTTTTACAACTCCTAGGTGGAGTCTCCGTGTCCACCAGCCCGGTTAAAGTGTCGTTCATTCGCTTTTCGTCCTCTCAATTTCGTAAACAACACCCCCGCTACGAGAAAGCAGTGAGTAAGACTTCCCTGCCAGAGGCTATATAAGCGTGGCCATGTGAGAGCATTTCGGGAGGGAGAGCGGACTCTCCCCACTCTCGGCCATACTAGGGTATTTGGGGGCCTGTTACAGGGTTTTCTTGATCTGTGGCAATTCTTCGTCAGACTTCACCACACAGTCTTTTGGAACTTCTATAATAGTGTGATCAATGTGCTCAACTACTTGACTTTTTATCATTAGTTTAGGCATTGTCAAATGTCAGTTCTGAAAATTTTGCATTTGTAAAGAGAGAACCCTACCTGACAATCCGCGTAGCACCGTGTATTTGTATAGTTATATACATATACATGTCTGAATAACAATCATTTTTATTCACAATTATACGATAAATAATGACTATACTCTGCATGATATGTAGTAAGTTGTGTTTGGGTTAGATTCAATGTTTTCCAGTTGTTAATACTGCAAAAACAAACTCGGTTGCGTGCTTATATCATTAGGCTCCTCTGAGATAACATTGACAGTACTAAATGTTCTTTGTTGACCTGATATTTCAGTTAGTCTTTTATGATTTAGTATAAAAGCAACATTTAGACGCTTGAATGACCTCATGTATTTTGTCAGCAATCTTGTCATATAGCTCTTATGAGTTTTTAAAAACATCGATGATTATATCGGTCAGCTGTTCATTACCGATAGATTTTTGAGATGTCTGATACACACATACACACTTAATCCAGCGTCTTTAATCATGTTTTCAACTGAACATTTTAAATTCTTCACTTAGGTTCACATGGTTTGCAAAGTCCTTCAAATGTTGATGAAAACAGTAGGATCACTTTGCTACCTGATGACAATAATGATGTTTATTTAATTACTGGTTGTGAGACAGGATATATCAACTGTTGGAAACTTCAAAACAATGGAAAAAGTAGATCAGTTGGCGAAGCTCGCAACTTACATTGGGGTAGTGTAATAACTATATACTGCATTCCTGGAGGTGATGGTGCCAATGGAATAGTAACGTCTGGAACAGACAATTGTATAAAGGTAACCGCAGTGCTTTGGGTTATTTGCAAATCTCATGTTTTAAAACTAATCAATTACATTTTTTGAAGATTCGTATTTAACTGCCTTCATTCCCGAAATTACTCAAGTTACATGAGTCTTCTCTCTTTATTATGGCATTGGCCAATTACAAGTGATGTCCAAGCAACAATGTCTTGGAATCTCCTTTCCAAGTTTCCTATACCCTTGATATCCGCCTCCAGTTTTCGACATCCTGTGATCCTCGATTCATCACTTTCCCGTTTGCCCGAGAATTTCAAGTTAGGACTTGCCTCTTGATTCAGTTCAATGGTTTCTACAATGTCTTACCCACCCAACGCTTTTTCTTAATTTCCTTAACTGGAAGTAAGTTTCTTCTCAGTCAGAGTATGTTATTGCTGATGGTCTCTAGCCAATGGATCCGGAGTATCTTGCGTAGACACCTGTTTATAAACATCTGTACCTCATTATGGTGGTTGTGGTAGTTCTCCAAGTCTCAGCTCTTTACGATATAAAACTGCTTTGACGTTAGTGTTGAAAATTGTGACTTTAGTGTTGAGTTCCAGATATTCTTCAGTTGTAGGAATGCTACCCTAGGTTTGTTGATTAGTGCTTTCACGTCCGAATCAGATCCTCCCTGTTTATCGATGTCGCTGTCTAAGTAGTGGGGGTTTCTACTTCTTCTAGAGCTTCGCCATCAAGTGTGATTTGGTTGGTGCTCATTGTTTTGCGTTTCATTATCTTTCTTTTTCTCTTGTGAATGTGTTATAGCCCAAAGCCGCCAATCAGAAGCAGCGAATTATCGAGTGGACCAAGGACGCGTAAAACACGTGCGAGCAGCCTAGAGTTCTGGTTGGTCCTGCTTTCCTTCTAGCCCAGCCAGTTAAGTCCAGAACATCAGTCTCAGCCTCGTTATATTTCAAACATACTGAGTTTGTATACCAATCAAACAGACGACAACGTAGCATAAAATAGAAAATAACATTTGTACAAAATATGGCCAAATGTGGCTGTGAATGTGGGAGGCGGTGACTAACAGACAGGGCATAATTCAAGAATGGTAAAACGTATAATAATGGTTCATAGGTCAAAGTAAATCTTATAATAAGAGGAACATGAATATGAATAGTTTAGTTATTTAACAATTATACGATAAAAATATACGTTTAGTATTGGTCCATAAAAGGATCCCAAAGTTACCATTCATTATGTTTCTCGGGACCTAACAGAATGTTGAGGTCTATTTCTGTGGAAGAGGCTAGTACGTTGGATATATTCGTCTGCATTTGTTTTCGTGTATGCAATCGGGGGTCTGAGTCATCTCCAAAGTCCATATCGTCCAGTTGTGTCCACCGTATTCCATGCTCCTCCTCAGATATAAGGGTTCTCATTATCCAGTCGACAGATAGCAGCAAGAAAATAGACGAAAATATGGAGCCTTTTTTGACACCAGTAGAATAGTATTTCCTCTATTAATTATCATTTCATTTGGATTGTTTGTGGGCTGATAGTCTCTGGGTGCCCAGACTGGGCAAAGTTCATCTCTAGGTAACATTTAAGCTATGTAAGTACGCCTATAGTTTCTAGTGCCCCCAAATACCCTAGTATGGCCGAGAGTGGGGAGAGTCCGCTCTCCCTCCCGAAATGCTCTCACATGGCCACGCTTATATAGCCTCTGGCAGGGAAGTCTTACTCACTGCTTTCTCGTAGCGGGGGTGTTGTTTACGAAATTGAGAGGACGAAAAGCGAATGAACGACACTTTAACCGGGCTGGTGGACACGGAGACTCCACCTAGGAGTTGTAAAACCCTGATTCCAAACCAATGTTACGCATGGACTCCAGTACCCTGAGGGAACAAATCGCGTATGAACCAATCGTTGATCACCGACTATCATCGGACTGCATCTGATTACGCTGCTCCACTGCCTTGTGGGTCAGACCTCTGGGCCATAGGCTCCGGGTGTGAACCCCTAAGAAAACCACCTGCTTCAGTTAGGGCACCTGGTCAGTATCACAGCCCTCACACAAATCAGATGAGATTTATGTGGCGCATATGTATTAGGTGCCTCCTTGTACCAATATCTATGTGTTCAAATAAATAATGAATAAATAAATAATTTCTAGTCGTGTCTACAAAATAATTTTTGTTAGTGACTAAAGACTGATACACTGAGCTATATTTCATGTTTCTCACAATTTTATTAGCTTACGTAAACGACGTTTATATGCATTGGGATTCGTTACAAATGGTTTGTTTTGACAATGTTTCGTACCCTGATGTATAATTTAGCTATAAATTTAACCAGAGTGTGAATTCGGGCCAGCCGAAACTTTTATATTCTTTCAATATCTATGCGACTGCAAACAGAGATAGTGTATACACTGAATCATTGTTTCTACTTAAATGTCTTCTTATCTACAGGTTTCTTACTTCGATCGGTCTGACGGTAGTCCGCGTACAGTATATCGTCGAGTAGGCCATTCTCGACCTCCGAATCGCATATTATTCTGGCCCGGGTGTTCGGCCGGTGGTGGGTTGTTACTTAGCGCTGGAAAAGATGGTGTACTTCGGTAGGTCTTTTTTCCTCAGTTATCCTCAATCATAATTACCCAAAGTAATAGATAGTAGTTCTTTTATTTATGTAAACAGTGACTCAGTTCTGCCTTATTCTTTCATAAATCTAGCGTTACTTTCGCCTTGTTATTATTATAATAATTGCTACTTTGTCTATTCATCAGTCAAATAAGCACATGCTTGCCAGGATGTACAATCAAAGCGCCATAAAAACAAAATTCCGGTCGATACCACGCTAGGATTCGGTAATAATGCATAGAATCACAAGTCATCAGGAATATGGGAGACGGTTTATATGGTAGGCTTTAAACGTATTTAAAGGTTAGGTATAGGTGTTATAAACAAAAGTGACTAAAAAGAAAAAAACATGTTACTCATTGTTTTTGATCAAAGGCAGTTTATTGTGAACGTTCCTTCAAAAGATGTTAGAAAGTTAGTAATCAGGTTTAAGCTCAGTCTTGTTAAACTTAACATGAATGTCGTCAGCAACTAGGGATTCAATGTTATACAGCTTATTGGGTCTGATCTCCCAAATTTGTACGGATTGTCTAAAGTTCACAAACCAATGATCCATTAAAATCAACACTGTGTACTTACGATTCATATACACATGAACTGACAAAATGATTGTCAAGACTCATGTAAGTTTTCTTTTAAAGATATGTTTAAACTAATCGTCTTTTCAACAGCAACAGTATTAAGGAAGAATTTGTGCACACATACCTTTGGTCAAAACTATAGACATCCTTTGTGACTACATATCTAGTAATTTTCCTCTTTTTCCTTTCCGGCCGACACAGCTGAAAAATTTTCATATAGCCAGATCCCTTGATAAATTTAAACAGAGCAAGAACAACAAGGCTTGTAGAATAAAATGAATTCATCGGTCTATTTCCCGGTTTCTTATCAGCTGCATACCACCTAACTCACAACTATTAAAATAAGTTTAATTATTAACAAATGTTTAGCATACTTTAGTTTGTGAAGGCGTGACAAATGTTCGAAACAACCAAAATCATGATTAAAAAAGAAAAAGGATACGAAGTTTGTAAATAAACATAGTTAAGGTCGATGTGTATTTTTATACTGGAAGGTAATAGTTCGAAGGTTATGTAAAGATAATGAAATTTATAGGTGACTTGTTAAGGAAACCGGTATTAGGAAACCGACTGTTAGCGAATCACTCTCAGAAAAAGATGGACATATTATACATTCTCAATCCAGGAGATTGGATCAATGGGCAGAACACTTTAGGGATCAGTTCAACTGGCCTTCAGCCACACTTCGGTTCCCCACGATCTCCAGTCAACCTGAATGGCAAGTTAATGTAGGTCCTCCGTCTCTTTACGAAGTTGGAAAAGCCATAGGAGATCTGGAGCGAGGGAGAGCAGCAGGCCCTGACAGGTTTACTCCTGAGATTTTTAAGGATGGTGGTTCAGTATTAGCAGTGAGATTAGCTGAGGTCTTAGGTAGAATTTGGGACCTGGACGTAATCCCATCTGACTGGTCTCAATCACTGATTGTGCCAGTCTATAAGAAAGGACAATCACAGAGGAATCAGTTTGACAAATATATTAGCTTCAATAATACTTTGACGCCTAACCAAAGCTCGTGAAGAATAGACTAGAGAAAATCAGGCTGGTTTTCGACCTGGACGTGGTTGTATAGATCAGATATTCACACTACGTCAGATCCTACAACATAGACACCCATTCAGACGCCCCACAATAGTAGTATTTCTCGACATTGAGGTTGCATTCGATTCTGTTGATCGTAAGGTTCTATGGCAGTGTTTGTCACTGAAAGGAGTACCAAAGAAGTACATTAACCTTATAAAGGCTCTCTACTCGAACACAACTGGTAGAGTGAGAGCTTATGGCGAACTGTCATCAGAATTGATTACCTCAAGTGGTGTTCGTCAGGGCTGTCTACTCTCTCCATTCTTGTTCAACTTTGTCGTCGACGTATTTTTAGAGATAACACTTTCCTCGTCTACATTTCCAAGGGTTGAACTTCTACCGGGAGGTTCACTTGTTGACTTAGAATATGCTGATGACAGTTTTATTTGGTGAAGACGCTGACAAAATGCAGAGTCTTCTGACTACTCTAAGCAACAATGCAAGCACGTTCGGGATGCGATTCTCCCCCTCGAAATGCAAAATGTTGCTTCAGGATTGGGTTGCATTGACACCCGAACTAATGATAGGGTGTGAAGTAATTGAGCGTGTCTATCGCTTCACTTATCTTGATAGTCTCATCAGCCCTTGTGGTCTGGTGTGTGACGAAATCTCAGCACGGATACAGAAGGCTCGACCAGCTTTTACCAACTTGCGTCATTTATGGCGTAGGCGAAATATCCGTCTATCAACCAAAGGACGTGTTTACTGTGCAGCAGTTCGTTCCGTCCTACTTTATGGCAGTGAAACATGGCCGGTAAGAGTAGAGGATATTCGTAGGTTACTAGTATTTGACCATAGGTGTCTTCGAAATATTGCTCGTATATCCTGGGACCATCGAGTAGGTAACGCATTTGTTAGGAAACGGGTACTAGGTAAGGATGGCAGATCGATTGGCGAAGTGGTGAAGCTTTATCACTTGAGATGGCTGGGACAAGTGTTACGTATGCCGAACCACCGACTGCCTCGACGTGCGATGTTCAATAGTATAGGAGTAGGTTTGAAGAAAGCTAGGGGTGGCCAGACCAAAACATGGCACAAGTCCATGAAGTCACTGACAAGTGGACTGAGCTATGTTGGTAGGTGTAGACTACCTGGTTGGGGAACGCGAGATGATAGCAACCGATGGTTAGAGACCCTGAATGACATGGCTCAAAATCGTTTGCAGTGGCGCAAGTGCATCAACTCTTTGTGTTCTCCCAAATTCTAATCTTCTGATTTCTTCATGTCCTTTTCTTTTTCCTCTTTCCAAATTTATTTCACTGGATTATACTCTTTGAATAACATCTTCAAACCCCAATTTTTCTGATTGCAGCTTATAATTTTACCACATCTAGCACTACGGAATTTGAATCGACCACTGCATCTCTGTTCTAATGTGGTGTGGCAGCTCGAACTGATGTAAGTACGTACGAAGTTCTACGTTGTTACTGACTGGCTAATCGCTCAACATGGTAAAATCGACGTACACGAACATCACTAATCAGTCAGTCAATCACAACGTAGAACCAGGCACATATATGTATCGATCCAAGTTGCCATACTTCGTTAGCACAACAAGATGAAACCGAGTTCATAGTATTTACTTCAGTGGCAGTAACATTATAAAGGAAAGATTATGTATAAGGATACCTGCTTCGGTTTGGGCACCCGGGCAGTATCACAGCCCTCACACATATCAAATGACATCTGTGTGGCGCATATGTATTTGGTGCCTTCTTGTACCAATATCTGTGTGTTAAAATAAAAAAGTGTATAAGGATATAGTGCAGGAACATCGTTAAGATTGTGTAAGAGATGAATATCAGAAGAAATAAAAACAAAGACAAAAGGTTGTGGACAAGGTTGTTAGAAAGGTTAAAAGTTAAGATTAATAAAGGTTGTTAAGTGAAACCCCAATTATCATGGCAGGAAAAGTCTAACCACACTTTCCTTCTGTATACATATGTTAGTTCGGATACTAATTACCTTTGCTAAAAGCAGTAAGATTGATATTTTTTGCTTGTTAATTGTTCTAAATACATTACTTAAATTTATCTTGTATCCATTATCTAAAAGGTGTCTAGCAATTGCATTTGTAAAGACTTTACTCCCTTTCAACCGTAGTTTACGAGGAATGTGTTCAGGAAACCTTGTACAGTCCCTTCTCTCTGTCCTTCCTATGCAATTACTGCGGCAGGTATATGCAAATTCATAGATGCAATTGGAAGTGATGTCTGAAGAGTATTGATCTACCTTTGCATAGTATAACGAACACTTGATGTTGTACAATTTTATTAATGGTTGTAATTTTAGGTTGTATGCAGCTGTTAAGAAACCATAAAATAGACTGATGAATTCATTTTATTCTACAAACCTTGTTGTTGCTCTGTTGAAAATGTTTTATTATGTATTGAAAAAACTTATTTCAAGTTTGAAAGTAAGCATTTTTGGCAAGTTGACGATGTTGTGGGTAATCCTTTAAGACCTCCCTTAAGTAATCTCTATCTGTCACATGCTGGAAATAGACGAGAGAGTACATCAGTGAGGTAACTTAGTACAGGAGGGACGGAGTTATTATCTTGGGTATATGCGATAAGAAATTTAACGTAGTTTTGTTATTATGTGGTTTAACAACGTACAAAATGACATAGCGCAACTTTGTCACAAGAAAAGTAACCAATTACACTTTCTAGACATACATTTGAGTTGGAGGGATGATAGAACCACCAAGCAGTTAGTTCATAGGAAGCTCACCTAGACATGTTAATTTCTAAACCTCCACATTTTATGTCCGTTGTAGTACAAGCAAGGCTTGATCAGCTGCCTCGTCAACGGAATTCAACGAATCTGCAATACAGATGTGATTAAATAGGATGCGAAACTAATGACGGATGCATTAATATTAAATTAAATTAAAATTAAATTCGGCGTAAAGTGTAAAAGCCAATCGACATCGAAACTCCTTAGTTCTGTTTCGAAGAAAAGGGTTCAGGACATAGTACCTTATAAAGGAGTATCAAACAACATAATTTAGTAGCAGAGGTAAAAAACAACCATTAAAAAATATTGTGCTACAAAATTGACGGTCATCTAAAAGAAATAGTCCATGATTCCACATGGAGCCAAACATTCCATAAATGGTTGTATCACACCAATGTATTTGCCAATTCACATTTGTGTATTTGGATAAATACGTTAGGAGGAATAATTGAACAGTGCGATCAGGGATGATGGAACATTTTTCTAGATCGCATATTGGTCAGTTGGCGTTAAATCCCCTAGTAAACACGAGACACTGAACTATGTTCCTCGATACCAAAACAATTATAACAAGTCTTTAATATGTTTTGAGGTTCATAGTGGTGTTACGATTCGTTACTCTTTTCATGTATTATTTTCTACTTATTTATTTATTTATTTCCAATTATCGATGTATATTTGTTGGACTTTTGTTTAATCGACCTTCGTTAGTTTTCCCATATAGATTATTAGACAAGTTAATGACTAACATGATTATTCAAAGTGTATAGCTCAAATACTCTTCATTTTTCAAATTAACTTTGTCTTCTAATTATACTATCAGAATGTAAATAAATCTGTTCATAATTGATATGAATTGTTTCACTAAACGTTCATTCTCTTTTAACACTAATTGCAGTGATTCACGGTCATATGACACATTGCTATTGAGTGTTTACTTGTTTTTGATGAGCTAAGTGAGTGGACTACTCCTCAGAATGAGTACTCACACTCTTAATTTTCATATCTTCAGTAATTAAGCGATGTAAAATATCAGGATGTTCAACGTGTATCGTTTATATATCCTGGCAGGTTGTTGTTTGCATATTTTAAAACATGAATGCTCCTATTTACTACACAATCACTCAGATTTCAATCGATAAGAAAAGCAATGGCTTATTCCCTTGTAAATCCATCTTGTTTTGATGTCATTAAAGACTGCTTTTCTGGAGGTATTATTGTTAATTAAGACTCCGCCACAATGTTTACTTGTTCACAGATAGCTGTTCAGTGAACCAACATTTAATGTATTTCCTTATGTTTTTGATTGGTGTATTCAGTGTACTATTTTTCTTAAGATTTAAGAATACTAGTAACGGTAATATCCATAAAACCTACTGCATCTACTAAGTTTTGAGTCAATTATTTCCACTTGTCGTTAATTAGGGGTTATGGTTCTTATCTAGTACACATACTTCCGTGTTTTTCAGAAAGGGGTTTTGTGGAGATTTTATTAATTTCAGTAGATGAGATCATGAGTCAATTGAAGATAGACCAATGGTGGGTGTGTCGCTCAATTTCGTGAATTAGCTGAAGTTAGACATTAACACCGTTGGATGCCGGCTCAGTGGCCTATTGGTTAAGTGCTCGCGCGCGAGAACAGGAGGTCCTGGGTTTGAGACCCGCGATCGTGGATGCGCACTGCTGAGTCCCACAATAGGACGAGACGGCCGTCCAGTACCTCCAAGTTTTCCATGGTGGTCTAGCTTCAATTGACTCATGATCTCCACCATTGAAATTCGTGTTTTTATTGAGTTCTGTTTCATTTTATTTGAGAAGTGGAAGCAACAACAATTGTAATATTTTTATCACAATAATGGTAGCTGTACAAAAGATAATGATTGTTCTTGATTATTAAACAGTATATTTTCAACGTTCAATGAAAATATGAATAAAAGCCTCGGTTGCGCATATGCTCCTGGAGTTCCGGATCGCCGGAAAACTACTCGTCAACAGAGATCACCGTGGTTACTACCTGACGTGGTCCACATGGCTGCATGTTCTACACGTGCTGAGGCGTGGGATAGCGTGGTTGCAATCCATAGCGGGAAACGGCAAGTAACCAGCTGGAATTTCCCGAAGGCTACTCGAGGCCAACACTGGTTTGATCCACTGAAATTTCATGGGTGCTATGGGGAAGCAAATCGGTTGTACAAGAACATAGTTGCTACGGTAAGTACCTCCCCTGTTCCAGTTCCAGCAACTTTTTGGTTACTTTTGCTTCTTCACATAACTAGTAATCGCGTGAAGAAGTTACAAAACCAAAGACGCCGTTCAGTTTTTAGTATTGTGTGCACTATAAGATAGTTTTTTCTACTGAGATTTTAAAGTCCTAAATTTTACTTTTGAACGGGCAAAATTTGTACGTCGGTATGTTATATTTCATTCCAGTGATTACAATTCTTCCAATGTTTAAAGCTAATCGAAAATCAATTAATAGATTCTGTTATGACTTTAGGTTCGGTCGATTTTTACCCTGTGCTGATTGTTGTGTCCTTGACTGAAGAGATTAGAGAGCAGCGTACTTATCGATCGATTACAGTGACACGTAAATACGTACGGACGGCCTAGAGTCTCTATTGGTCTCGCTTCCCTGTCTAGCCCAGTCAGTTGAGTCCAGAACACAAGTCACAGCCTCGGAGATATGAATCATTATATTTCAAACATACTTTGTTTATATACCAATCAAGCATACCACATCCTACCATAAAATAGAAAACATTTTGTACAATATTCAACAAGTGAACAGATATCGACCAATAGAAAATGTCCATTTAAAGTCCAAGAACACCATTAGACTTAACATGATAATTATTGGTCTATTCCTCCTCATCCACAACAGATTCATTAATTTGGTCAAAGCTAATCCGTCACATTTCCATATAATCTGCTATACCACATCTATGTTGTGGGTAAATATTACTTCAATGTTCATATTGTAGAAATAATGTGCTTTCATTGGATAACAGAGTTGTTGATGGTTTGTGTATGCATATGTTTAAAAGAACCACTTTATCGACTAGTTAAATAAACTATCCAATTGAATTTTAGTCTATCTCCATGGGTACGTCTCACTTGAAAGACGTTCCGTTGTTCAAGTTAAATACTGCCATCAAATGAAAGTGTGATCAACTACTCCTTTTTATTTGCGCTAAGAATGTTGATCCACTAGTCTAATACTCTTCATCTGGAGATTCTCTACCTTTCTGAGAGTTTAAAGTGATTTTACCTTCTTTTCAGTGTGCATACTTGACAAGTTGTGGTAACTATGCTCTCATTGGTTATTCAAGTGGAGATGTCTTCAAGTTTAATATGCAGTCTGGTTTGGAGCGCGGTTCATATGGATCACCTACCGGTTTGTGAATTATCATCTTGATATTTTGTTTCATATTAATCACTTCTGAAGAATGCTTACGTTGTTGTGTCTCAGTAATGCTCTTCAAAATTCTTCATAACTCCGTAGTTTTGAGCTAATAACCCTCCTTCAATAGGAATCAAGAAATCTAAAACAGCTATCTCATTCTGATTGTTAGGTGTATTTTGCTATCAAAAGTTTTCTCACTGTTTAATTTGTCATAGTAATGTTTCAGATTCCCTCTTTTCTAACTCGAATTCAAATACAGAATAAAATAAAGCGAAGTCTAATATATGCAATTATAAGGAGTTGATGCTGTTTCTTGTAGCATAAAGAAAAGACTTAAATACTAAAATGAAAAGGAAACAATTTTTCTATCAAAATATTGTTCTTACTTCCCAACAAGTATAGACATTCAGTACAGCTCACGCTATTTTCAACAATTACTAATCAAACTGTTCAGATAACTTTCTACGTGTCAGCAATCCGAATATTTGTATTTTTTCAATATCTCAATGTAGACTAGCGGTTTACCTCGACAAATAGTAGTGGGGAGGGAAACATAATATTTGTTTTGTGTGTACAATATAATTTATCTCCCTTTTCCCTTTTTAAATTTATATTATTTATTTTGTACTTTATTTTCTCATCATCACTACTAGCACATTTGTGCTCTATTGTCGGACTAGCTGTCAATAATGTAAACCGAGTTACCATAACTGTTGGTGAGAGTGAAATTCGTTTCTGGTCTTTTCACGAGCACAAGTTACATGGACAACTTGACTTACCATCAACCTCTTTGTTGGTCAGATTTCATGCTGATAGGTAATCAATAATCATACAACAAATATTTTAATGTTTTCTGAGTAGCTTGGTTAATATTCCCATCTCTAAGTTGGTGTGAAATATGAGTTCTCAGGCTCCTTCAAGTGGACTCAAGAGGTTCACTTATTTAATTAATTAATTAACTAATTATCTATTTATTTATTTTAACACATATATATTGGTACAAGGAGGCACCAAATACATATGCGCCACACAAATCTCATTCGATATGTGTGAGGGCTGTGATACTGCCTGGATACCCAAACCGAAGCAGGTGGTTTTCTTAGGGGGCCACTCCCCGAGCCTTCAACCTTTAGTTCTAATCCACAAGGCAGTGGAACGTCGTAAGGAGATGCAGTCCCATGGAAGCCGGTGACCAACAATTGGTTCATACGGGATTTGTCCCCGCAGGATACTGGAGCCCATGTGCATCATTGATTTGGTTTGGAATCCGGTTAAAGCGTCGGACATTCGCTTTTCGTCCTCTCAATTTCGTAAACAACACCCCAGCCACGAGAAGGCAGTGAGTAGGACTTCTGTGGTAGAGGCTATATACGCGTGGCCATATGAGAGCATTTCGAGAGGGAGAGCGGACTCAGCACACTCTCGGCCATACCAGGGCATTTGGGGGCTCTTATTTAATCACTCGCCTTCATCGATAGTGATTAGTTTTGGAACCCAGGATGCTCGTTTCTTCCCATCAGGGAATCAGTCGAATGTACCTGTTTCCTCTCCTCTGTCATTACCTTACTGTCATGGATAATAATTTCGTACTCTCACCTGTCTGGTTTTATTAAATAATGAGTGCATGATTCTATTCAAAACTTTGAGAGTTCTCGAAGTGCTTTCGTACTGTAACTGAAAACTCCACTAGTTTTCGTTGGCTTATTTAACGTGTGGCTTGTGTGGACTGATCTGCCTCTCTTGTCTTATGAACTCAGCTAAATATCATGGGTGAAGCATTTTTCGGATTGTAATAATCGAATGTAGAGAGGACATCCATCGAAGTACTTCATGACGTTTTGCTTGTGCAGCGGACAACATTTTACTCACCAACGAATCAGATTTCGTCAGCGAAAATTCGTATATATCGCAGAATCGAGAGCGATCCACCACCTGAATTCTTCATGTCCCTTGTTTTTCCTCTTTCCAAATTTCACTAGATTATACTCCTTGATTAATATCTTCAAGCCCTACTGTTTCCGATTACTGCTTATACTCTTACTACCTCTACCACTACGGAATTTGAGTCGACAACTGCATCTCTGTTCTAATGTGGTGTGGCAACTCGAACTGATGTAAGTACGTACGAAGTTCTACGTTGTTACTGACTGACTGATCACCTGATGTTACCGTGACTGACTAGTTGTGAAGAAACTATCTACTGAAATTTTCAGAGTCTAAGATCGGATCTCTCGCGTTCGTCCGAGAATACAGACAATCATGACTCATGGGTTAAAGATGGGCTGGTGACCATATCGGGTAATATGTAGGGTGGCATTTGAAAGGAACAAACACATGGCATTGTTGGTCAATTGCTAGGATACATAGCGCCGAGTTGTACAACATCAACAAACCGTCTACCACAGGAGATATTGATAGACACTTCAAGTGTACAGTTACCTCCGAATTACACAATTAGAGGAAAAGCCAATATGGCACCGCTCAATCAACTGGACCTATATTCTAGATGGTCAGGCTGATGATGGTAGCGCTAATTGAATTAAAGTTGAACCGAATTGAAAAGTACTTCATTAAAATAGGAAGTTTTGTGGATTCCAGATCCTCCACACAATATTTCAGAAAGGGATGAAATGTAAGATTGAGTATCGAAATGATGTAATTTTTGTTCAGTTTATCATTCACTTGTATTGAGTAATGCAGTGTGACTTTTCGTTTATTCATAAGACCCTCCACGAAATAGATTAGAAGAAAACTAGGGGCTGTCAAATCAATACGTATCATCAGTCTATCAAGTCACTGTCCCTTAAACTGGCTTGTTAGTTTTAAGCAACCGAGTTAAGGTTCATGCGATAACCACGGCCAGCGGTTGGAGATACTGTGTGACACGGCTCAGAATCACTCGTAAATATGTGGTTCCATTCGTTCGTCATTATGAGCTCCAACATTATTAAAAGGCGAATGTTTTTGTTACTGTATCGAAATTTCATTAGTCACAAGTTTATCAGAGTGAGTAAGATTATAGCAACAGGTGAAGTGCTTAACACGATTGATGCATACAGAAAGCGATCAGAAATTTTTGCATTTAGCCTCATCTGCTCACTCAAGGGTGAGGGGAAGTAAAATTCATCATTCAAGAAACCCTGCATTGCCATTTCCTACCTATTCACCCAAAATGATCTGCTAATTCACTTTTAAGTTCGTAACCTCCGGAATCATAGGCAATCATTCTTACTCTTCAATAACGAGCTAACCTTGTAGTGAACAAGAACACCAGTGGGGACAATCGAATGTATTTAACACAAAATTACATGACTTGTTAATAAAATCTAACAATCATAATGTAAATGCTTAATTCGCAAAATGTCCACCAGTTGTCTCAAAATGACTCAGACTACATTGTTCTTGCATTTTCATACAAATTGCATCATGTTTCCATTCCTTACTGTTCGATCCTCTTGTCTCTGTTGCCAGACCTGTTCGCGACTAACATATACTACTTATGTCAATATAAGCAGCACACACCGCCAACAACCTACCTTACTGTCCGTTTTTATACCTGATATGCTGCCGTATAGAAGCATTTCAATTAAGATTTTAAAGAGTTTCAGATTTTTCTATTAAATATATCTGTTCTGTTTATAGTGATGTTCTAGCTGTCGCTTTGTCGAATGCGGCTATCACTTTGGTTGACATTGTACATCGAAAGGTTATTCGAACGTTCATCAATTCTGAAGTCCAACCTTGTGTTGATATGGTAAACGAGAGTTACTTCATTTTTATTCTGTATGATATTCTTAAATCGTAAATTTAAACAGAGATACTCATTGAAAGACAGTAATCACTAAAATTAATCAATCGATGTTCTTGATCCATCTCTTTTCACTACATTTGTTAATTCCTTATCAAAACTTCAACCGCACGGTCTAGTGACGCGTCAAATTCGGCAAACCAAAACGCAGGATTGTCTATAACAACACTATTGCTAAGAAATTATGTGAAATACGTGGTAAACCTCAACCCATGAGGTGACTACGGTGTGTACCGAGTTTGTGTACAATCAGAGGGAAGTGCCTCCTAATAATAGGTTTATAGAGCTATTTATAACAACCTAGGATATGTGTCGAAGTCGCTATGGCAAAATAAGAACAAAGAACTGACAAGGAATGTAGAAAGAAAAAAATTTTTTGGTCACTTTTATATCACGTTTATGTGTGTATATCCACTGATTGGTTGAACGCCATTGGGCATAACACACAAACTGACCTCCCATTAGTCAATCACGGTTTGGTTGGTTGGGCCACATCAAGGACATATTCTGCTCAAAACTATGTGGTGGTTTGATGTATCAGCCCAATCTCAGTAACTAATTATCTCTCAAGATGAATAATAGGATGTGAATAACGTAAGATATGTCTGAATCCGTGAAATTTTGTGTTTTTAGTTGTCGATTTTGAAATGAATACTTTCAAATTAAATTATCCGGCCTTCAATTATGGAGTTTAAGGTTTGAAATGAAAGAAAACATACATAACTAAGGTGCATACTTTTGGTAGTGTTACTTTTTCTGAGTTTAATATTCTGATTTCAAAGCTGTTGTTCTGGACAACATCAGCGTCCACCTATAGTAGAAGTTTCTAGTTTAAAGTGATCTCTACTTCGATTTGGGCGACTGGGTATCAGTATCATCCTTCACACTTAAAGTGTCAACTCCAAGATGAACTCATAAACCTATGTCACTAAGTAATTGGTAATCAAATCATTGTTATTGGTATTTATCAGCATTACAAACCTACGAAGTTACAACGTATATTCATCCTAAGATTTGAATGAATTATGTTTATAAGTGAAGGATAACTTGTTTATTATCTGAATAATTTTTGATGGAGGACAAACTACATTTATTTTAGTAAGCATTATCAAGTGATTTCATTTTTCCTGGTAATAAGACACTAGTCAGTTCCATATTTTACTCGAACACATGTAACTATTTGTCTTACGCTTCATTCTCACTGTCGCTTAATAGTGTCCCTCCTGTTTAACTGTAGGACATTTCATTTGACGGCCGATGGTTAGTTTCCGCACACCACGGAGATCCCTTGGTAAAAACGTGGGATATAGTGGATAGTAAGTAAGTAAAATTCATATATCTTATTTTTGATTGAGATGATGAATCGATTGATGTAAGACCACCATTGAAAACCTGGAAACATTGGATGGCCGTTTCGTCCTATTATCAGACTCCTCAGCACGCGTATCCATGACCCCACTCGCCAGACTCGAACCCAGGACATCCTGTCTCGCGCGCGAACACCTAACCTCTAGACCACTGGGCCGGTATCCAACGGTGTTAATGTCTAACCTTAAATAATCCACGAAATTTAGCGACCTTCTTCCATTGTACTGAGGTAGATAAATATTTCTACCTGACACGGGTTATCTCCACTGGTCATATCTCCTTATTAGTACTCCGAGGCTTAGTTAGCACATTATAATTATCAGTATGGGGTTGTGGAGACTATTAAATTAATTCAGAGTTCACCATAATATGTCTTACTGTTAGTGCATACTGTTGTGTCTTTATGGCCCGCTAGTTATCACGTAATTTATTCACCCCTGTACTGTACTAAACCAATGACGTTCGTTCGGTCTGATCAGCCTAACGTCCTATTGGTCTACTGCTCGCCTGAGTCCGAAATGCCAACAACAGCCTCCGCTATGCAAATCATTTATTTCAGACATACTCGGTTTATATACCAACCAAACAGACCGCAACACACTATAAAATAAAGAATAACTTTCATACATAATAAAGCCAAAAAGTGTCTGTGAACGTGGGAGACAGTAATTAATAAACTGAGTACGATTTAAGACCAGTAAATCGTATAATAATAAATTTTAGGTCAAAATGAAGCTTATAATAAGAGGAATATAAATATACATAATCTAATTACTGACTAGTTATACCATAGGAACATATAGATAATATTAGTTCATTAATAGGTCTCAGAAGTTACTCGTAATGTAATCTTCACTAGGATACAACAGATAAAAAAATTGACTAGAATAATGACATGATGTATCAGCTTTGTAAATTTGTATGTTCGTGATTTTAATATTGCTAAAGTTCCATCTATAGATATATTACTCAGCGTTATCACAACCAGTCTCTCACATCAACGACTAAACCTTTATTTCCTTGAACAACTCAAACTTTTTATTTGTTGACTAATGAATAAAGAAACCCAGAAAACGCCTCAAAGAAAGCCCATAGGGGCGCTAAAAACTCGGGGAAATATTTTACCCAATCATTATTGAGTGAAATCGCTATAACTGTGACGGCAGGTTAGAGGACAGCGAATTATCGACCGGACCAAAGACGCGCAAACACGTAAGAACGGCCTAGGGTTCTGATTGGTCCCGCTTCCCTGTCTAGCCCAGCCAGTTGAGTCCAGAACGCAAGTCTCAGCCTCGGATATATGAATCATTATGTTTCAAACATACTCTGCTTATATACCAACCAAGCATACCACATCGTACCATAAAATAGAAAATAACATTGTACAATACAGTAGGAAAACGACACGTAAAGTAAATATTGACCAATAAGAAAACAACACCATTTCAAGTCCAAGGATAGCGTTAAACTTAACAGAATAATTTTTTGGATATTTTTCTGAATATCCCAACAGAAATTTTCTCAGAAATATCTAATACGTGAGTAGTCACGTGTCACACTTTTGATGGGATTATTAACTATCGTGCCGTTATGTTTATTAAGGTTCCGGAACCTCCCAAAATCTCAAAGCCACCTAAAATGCTATGAATACCTTCAGTTTTCTGTGCATGAACAAACCTTGGAGTAAAGCGTTTTTTCTATATTTCGCGCCTCTGCTCTCGTGTTCAAGTTGCCATGTAGAGTTAGCCTGGGGTTGTTAGAAGAGCTTCGCCAACTAATTCAATCGTTCGGTCTGAAGATTTATCAAAGAAAACTGCAGTAAACATTTCTTTTAAACAAATAAAAGCCTAATTATAGCGTCAATAGAAGCGGTTTGAACAGTTTGAAATCAGAATCATGGAAGCCCCTGTTAGTTTCTTCGTTGTATCATATTTATTTCACTTGCAGCTTTTTCTGCCGTCGTTGTTAGTTCTTCCATATATTTCTGTTTGTCGGTTTTATTGCCCTTCACTTGCTTGTTTGCTTCTATGTACTCAGCTTGTTCCTTGACTTTCTCTGCCCGTGTTCGGCAGTTGTTAATTGCTGTCTTCTTGTTCTTCCTTTCTTGAATATTGTTCAGGGTTTCCATAGAGATTCATTCTTCATGGCCATTCTTTGCGACCAAGAACGTCCTGACACGTTAAAGTTATTGCTTTTTTGAAACCTTTCCAGTTGTCTTCCATAGTAGTTTCTTCCTTCAGCAGATCTTGTAAGGCTTGGAACCTGTTGTTGAGATTTATCTTGAATTCGTTGAGTTCGTCGTATTTAACCTATGTAATGCTGTTCCTTCAGTTGTCCAGTATTTCTTTAACCTCAGTTTCATGTTAGCTGACACCAGGTGGTGATCCGAAGCTACGTCATAATTCTTCCTTCAACTCCCAAGGCAGAGTTTAAATGGTTTGATTTGTTTAATCTGGTCAACGTCTTTTTAGCAAGGTTGTTTTCTACGAGATGGGGTTGCCGAGCATACGCCGAAACCTTCTACTTTACCCGAGCTTGGGAGCGGCAGTAACTCTAGAAGTCAGTCAGTAACAACGTAGAACTTCGTACGTACTTACATCAGTTCGAGCTGCCACACCACATTAGAGCAGAGATGCAGTTGTCGACTCAAATTCCGTAGTGGTAGAGGTAGTAAGAGTATAAGCAGTAATCGGAAACAGTAGGGCTTGAAGATATTAATCAAGGAGTATAATCTAGTGAAATAAATTTGGAAAGAGGAAAAAGAAAAGGACATGAAGAAATCAGAAGATTAGAATTTGGGAGAACACAAAGAGTTGATGCACTTGCGCCACTGCAAACGATTTTGAGCCATGTCATTCAGGGTCTCTAACCATCGGTTGCTATCATCTCGCGTTCCCCAACCAGGTAGTCTACACCTACCAACATAGCTCAGTCCACTTGTCAGTGACTTCATGGACTTGTGCCATGTTTTGGTCTGGCCACCCCTAGCTTTCTTCAAATCTACTCCTATACTATTGAACATCGCACGTCGAGGCAGTCGGTGGTTCGGCATACGTAACACTTGTCCCAGCCATCTCAAGTGATAAAGCTTCACCACTTCGCCAATCGATCTGCCATCCTTACCTAGTACCCGTTTCCTAACAAATGCGTTACTTACTCGATGGTTCTAAGGTTGAAAGTGTATAACATGTCCATCTTTCTCGGAGATTGTTTCGCTAACAGTCAGGTTCCTAATACCGGTTTTCTTAACAAGTCCTAACACTTTCCTCTATTACCTATTGCCGCTGCCTTTTCCATCTCTCTTGCTTTCGCTAACCACCACTCTTCACGATCATTGCGTAGGCTACTTATCAGCTTGTGCTTGAGCTGACTCCGCTCTTCGTTATGTTCGGAGCAAGATGAAATGAGTTTTCGAGCATCTGTCAGTGCGGTAGATGTTGCTGAGATCTAGTGTTGCTCCCTAACCTTGTGGTTTATCGTACTAGCAGATATCACTGCCGTTTCCACGGCCTTTGCGATATCATTCCATGCTGTCTCAGAGTGGGGATCACATACATGGTTGTCTAACTGTTTTTCTAGTTGTTCCTGAAATATACTCTTATCTTGACTATCATTAAGTAGGGCATAAGAGGTTTCCTTGCAGCGTCTTTCCTACGTCCAGTAAGACGCAGACAAATACGCGCTCGCACTAGAGCATGATCTGGATCTAAGCATATGCTCCAGAATGGGCGACAGTCTTCTTTCGAGCCCCTCATCGGTGGCTGATAGCGATGTGGTTTATTTGGATTCAACGTTGAGACGAATTCGGGGGTCGCCATATTAAAAGATGTTTTTCCTTATGCGTAAAGTTAGTATTTGCTAGAAACAGACAGTTATCTGAGCATAGCTGCAACAGACAGTCGCCATTATCTGTTCTTTTTTGATCCACGACACCATAAGATCCACCCGGCTGTCCTTCCTTTTCGCTTAGTTTATCTACTTGAACATTAAAGTCACCAGCCATTATTACTATATCAGAGCGCCTAGCTTTTCGGTCAAGGTCGGAAAGCTTTCTGTAAAACTCATCTTTTACATCATCTGAGTTGCAGTCAGTGGGAGAATAAGCAGAGATGACGAGTCCTAACTGTTCTGTTTAGTTGGACAGCGCACAAACGACTGTCTACTGGGATGCAGTCTAGGAGAGCTAGTTCTGCCTTAGGAATTAATGCTATACCTACGTCAGCATCAAGGCTTCCAGATACACGAAGTGTGAATCGAGTTAATTCTTTATTTTGACATGGTGAGGTCAAATGACTGACGCTACTCGGATCCTGTATGGGCGTTTCGGAGACGTAGCACACATGGATGGCGCGAGATTCTACAGTCCTAGCTAAGAAAGTGTGTTGTTCTATTTGGCACAGTGTTCGGACGTTAAAAACTATGTGTAGTTTAGAGAGTGGTTTCAAGAGACCAGGGATAACGTTCCGCGTACTCGGGTCGTTCTCCCTAGCGGTGCGAGGTGATAAACGGACGTGAGAAGGGTTATCCGTGGAGATAAGAGAGTTATTAGTCGGTGTAAGGAGGATTTGAATGTGACCGACTTGGTCTCGTGTGCTGTTACAGGTATGAGGACTGATGAAACTTCCCGGCTGCCCACACCATAGAAAGGTATTTCTTGAGGAACCCGAAAAGGAAGTTGGATTAGTGTAGGCCTTAACGACCTGGGAGCGTGACCGCAGAGCCCAAGGGACAACTGCTTGAGGTCGGTCGCAGACGGCATTTTCATGGAAGGTTTTTAATTTGTTAGCTCCGTTCTTCAAAGGGCCTTACCGCGGGAGACGAAAATCCGTGAGGTAAGGTGAGGTGTGTCATCTTTAGGGTTGACCTTTTCTAACCCCACCCCTCCTTGTGGGAAGGCAGCATCACTGCAGATGCTGGTTGTCCGAGGGAAACACCTGCTGTCACACCCCGTTACAGTCAGCAGTATGACTTCGCCCTCAGACCTTGAGTTGCTGCTTTTAGTCTTACCGTTCTCCAATCGACCTGCATGGCATGGTAGAACCTACAGAAACATATGTTCCAGCCAATATAGCTCGGTTGGGTCATCACAATAGGCAAGCCCGACCACCGCGTCAAGGTAGCAGCTACGGTCGGGTATGTTACATATCGCAAACTAATATAAGCAACGTTGTACACAAAGGACGATGGAATCAAAAGTAGGTAATTACTGAACGCAGGATCCACTTTCAGTGACATAAAGTGTGTTTATACATAAATAAATGATTCTAGACGAAATAAAAGCTTTCGCATAACAGGCTTTCGTAACTAGCAACAGTGGATCACCGGCGTCTCCAGGTATATTTAACAACAAAAAGAAAGATATCAGTGAATTATAGCGAGATATTATCTTTAGAAGTAAGTCACGTTTTGTTGATTAGGCAGCCACATCATGACAAATCTTCAATTTCAGGATTAGGCCTATTATTATAATAGTACTAATAACGATGTAGATCATAATTCTACACCCATACCTGAAGATCTTTTTGCTCAACTGAATGAAGGTGTTATAATTCTCTCTTATTACGATCCAGCTATTCCTATTGCTTAGTATTCTTATACACCGATTCATTCGACAAGTCCTCAAATCAGAACCCGGTTGGACGGGAATAACAAGATTAGATGGAAGTAAGAAGCTCAATAGGAAAAACGTCAGTATATTTATTGTTTTTTTTCATGGAAAGATTCTAGAGTGTTCTCTACGTACCGGCCAGCTCTGATTGAGCAGGAATTAGCCAATCAGTGTGCACCAGCGCAATCATGCATTGAGCATGCTTTAATCCAATCTATGTCCCGCTGACAGAAGGTAAGTTCTTTGCAAAGTTGGATTTGTTGGAAGCATATTTACAAATTCCTTTTGCTGAATAGTGCCAAGATCTGCTCACCATAAACACACACAAGGGCCTAGTTCGATATAATTGACTACCTTTCGTTTTCAAGACGGTCCTATCTATATTTCAGCAGGTAATTGATACTGTACTACAAGATGTTCCAGGTGCTGCAGCTTATACGAATGACATACTAATCATAGAAGTGGAACAACAAGTAACTGAATTGTAGGTTAACAGAACAAGCAACTAATCAATTACGGAGAAATGCTAATCACTCATGACTTATTGAAGTGTTTGTTGATGTTGTCGATAAGACACTGGAATTTTCACAATTAAACCAACTAACTCACTAAACAAAGCGCCTTCAAAACCCTTATCCTAAGCTACAAATATCCCCCAACATCTCGAAAATTTCAGTTGTTTATTCTAGCTTTATCTTGGTTTTATATCTAACTGATTACTGTAACTACTTTACTATTTCTCAGACTGATAGACTGCTTTCGTGTAGAAATTCCTATCACTTCAATCGCTTTATCCAGGGCAAATGAATTTCTATGTACAACTCATTCAAACTGCCTTGGTATCTATCTTTGGGATAACCGTGCAACTTACAAACATTTACACCTCCAGCCTTTACCTATTGATTTTGTTCCATCTGAAAATCAATCTCCAGTATCATTACCAACTAGGTAAGTTGTTTTTCAATTCAGAAATAAATGTATATACAGATTAATCATCTACATACTCTTAGTTCTGCTTAATTGTAGTTACAAAGAGTATGATGTCTCTAAAACAGTTCTGCGAATTAAGTAAAATACTACTGTTAAATAAGCATGTAGGGGAACTCATTATAAAAAGTGCCGATATTTTCCTCTAACAATAATCTTTTAAGTTATTAATCTAGGTAATGTTTAAAATTTTGTTGAGCATTCTTTTGTAAAATGCCTTAATTTTGTGTTCAAAAATGTCTCATTGAGTCGTAGAATTCACTCAAATACCTAACCATATAAACTCTGCGGAACTATTAGGAAAGATATTTAGAGAGACATACATAACTGACGTCATCTTGACTCTCGATCTCTATAAAGGTTTCGTTTTGATCAAAGATTTTCTAATATGTTGACCAATAAATAACTTGCTAATGACACAAATGGTTTTTAATATGCATGTATTTCGATTTCAGAGTATACCAAGACTATCCATCAATAGTACTGTGCCCCTTTTTTCGATGTAATTTTATTACTGCAAGATTTTGGCACAAATCCAGAAAGTTCGGCTGACTCTTGCTAACTTGCGTCACTTGTGCAGTAAGTAAAGCATTCGTCTACCAACTAAAGAACGGCTTTACTGAGCAGCAGTTCTCTGTCCTATGTTATAACTGTTAAACGTGATGTTCAGAGACGGAGGAAATTTGTAGAATTATTGTCTACAATAATTCTAGTGCTGCTCTAATAATAGACCTAATCCTAAATTTGTAGATTTGTCATGATATAACTGCCTTATCTTTAAGATCTTATGTGGAAGTCACACCATGAAGACACTATTAGACTAAGCCATGTGGGTAGGTGTAGACTACCTGGTTGGAGTCCTTGTGATTGTCGTAACCAACGCTTAGAGACTGGGTGGTATGGTCCAGAATCGTTTGCAATAGTGTAGGTATAGTCATTCTTTGTTTAGATTCTAAGTTTCTAAATGTCATATGAATTTTTTCCATAAATTTTTTCCATAAAGAAAAACTGCTCTCACCGACGCGTTGTAGATCCGACCTTTTACAGCCGGACTTACATCACGAAGGCGCCAAAGATGGCCCAGATTGGCATAAGCCACTCTGGCTGTCACTATACGTGCATTGATCTCATCACTCACACCCCCACCAGCACTTATGCAGCTACCCAGATACACGAACTTCTCGACTACTTCTATCTGCTCACCATCCAGGGTGAGTACAGGATTAGGATCCTGTCAGTTTTGTAGAATTACTTTGCACTTCGAAGGTGCAAAGCACATTCCGTACCTATGGACATTGATTGCCAACTGATTAAGTGCGGATTGCATGCCTTGGGCATTATCGCACAGTAAGACAAGATCATCCGAATATTCAATTGCTAGCCTAGAAGTCAGCTCGGTTCGATACTTACTTGCAACAGAAGTTGCAACCAGCTTGCTAACATCAATCTTTTGGTGGTGGTCACTTCGTTGGCCACTGAAAAGTAAGGCAAGATTGGCGCAGACCAAGGCATGGTCAGAGTCCAGATAAGTACTCCAAAAGGAGCGGAAGTCGTGTACACAACCACGCCAGCGGTAGCTTATCGCGATGTGATCAATCTGAGTCCAGGCTTGAGATTCTGCAGACGGAGGACGCCAGGTGGTACATCGGCGATGACTGTGCCGAAAGTTAGTGCTAGACAGAACCAGGTTGTGGTCTGTGCACAGTTGCAATAGGCGGTCCCTGTTATCTGTCCTGCGACCAACAAGTCCCCATCGGCTACCTAAACGACTCTCTTCTGTGCCTAGACATTCGACCTGAGCATTCACGTCTCGGCTAGTACTACAATATCTGTCGAACGCACTTTCTGGAGAAGAACAGATAACTGGTGGTAAAACTCATCCTTGATTGCATCCGGGCTGCAATCTGTCGGGGCATAGGCGGAGATGACGAAAAGACATCGTTTCTCACGCCGATTTCTTCTCAATTTGATGGAACCTTCTAATCTAACAGCACATAACCGGGTGTTAATGGGGATCCGATCGACTAGTGCTGCCTCAGCTCTAGCGCTTAGTGCGACACCAACGCTTGCAAGACCAGACGAAGATGCCACAGGGTCCCCGGATAAGCGCACGTAAAACAAGCTTTTTAAAGTGACAGATGTAGAGGGAACTTGTAGTACTTCGCTAGAGTCTTCAATACGGGTCTCGGATAGACAACAAACGTCGATATTAAGACTTTGCAAAGACATAGCCAGCCCTATCTGTTGTCCAACCTGTATTAGTGTGCGAACGTTGAAGGCAGCCAGTTTGAATGGCGCACGTGGTTTCAGAAAAACTGCTTCAGTACTCATGTTCGGTGGTAACATACAATTTTCAACCGGACAGTGACTCGAGAACGTTTAAATAGAGTCGAATTTCCACCATAGACGAGCTGCTGTAAAAGTCGAAAAAATAAGTATAGACAGAGTACGAATAAAATAGGGTGAATAATGATGTAGTAAATAATAATAATAATGATAACAATAATAATAGTAATGTGAATCATATGATTGTTAATCGAGGCAAGAAAAGTATTTTCCATAATTATCGACAGTTCATCACCGAAGCGGGTAGTTTTCTTAGGGGGCCAAACCTCGAGCCTTTGACCTAAAGGTCTAACCCACAAGGCAGTGGAGCATCGCCAGGAGATGCATCCCAATGGTAGCCGGCGACCAACAATTGGTTCATACGCGATTTGTCCCCACAGGATACTGGAGCCCATGTGCACCATTGATTTGGTTTGGAATCCGGTTAAAGCTTCGGACATTCGCTTTCCGTCCTCTCATTTTCGTAAACAACACCCCCGTCACGCGATGGAAGCGAGTAGAACTTCCGTGGTAGAGTTTATTTATTTATTTATTTGGACACATGAATATTGGTACAAGAGAGCGCCAATATATATGCGCCACACAAAACAATGAAAATTCGAGAGGAATACAAAGAAAGAAAAAAAGCTAAGGAGCGCAACAAAAAAAGAGAGAACAATAACGAAGAGATTGGTGTAAGGTAATGTGCTAGTAATCAGGGAACGCAAAGGTACAATCGGAAGAAATCTTTCAGGTAAGGGAGACAGAACCACTTTTTATGAAGAAAGTAAAAGAAGGTTACAGCAGGATCGCCACTGGCTTCTATTCTGAGCCATATCTGATAACGTCTCTAGCCACTGTGTAGCACCATCTCTCAGACCCCAACCAGGGAGTCGTGAAGGACCAACACAAGCCAGTCCTTTGCAGCTTTCTTTCATGCCACGACACCATGTCATGCACTGACCACCTCTCCGCTTCTTCCAACCAGTCCCAGAGTCGGCAAATAATGCACGACGTGGAATTCTCTGGGACGACATTCGGAGAACATGTCCAAGCCACCGAAGTCGGTGTTTCAAGATGGTGACACCAATTGAATTATCATCTCTGTGCCCGAACACACGATGCCGAACCTCTGCATTACTGACATGGTGTTGCCACTGAATGTCAGCAATCCTTCGGAGACAGCGATGATCGAACACAGAGAGTCGTCTAACGTCCTCAACTCGGAGAGGCCAGGTTTCACAAGCATAGAGCAAAACTGCTCTCACCGACGCGTTGTAGATCCGACCTTTTACAGCCAGACTAACATCACGAAGGCGCCAAAGGTGGCCCAGATTGGCATAAGCCGCTCTGGCTTTCACTATTCGTGCATTGATCTCATCACTCACACCCCCACCAGCACTTATGCAGCTACCCAGATACACGAACTTCTCGACTACGTCTATCTGCTCACCATCCAGGGTGAGTACAGGATTAGAATCCTGCCAGTCTTGTAGAAGTACTTTGCACTTCGAAGGTGCAAAGCACATACCATACCTACGGACACTGATTGCCAACTGATTAAGTGCGGATTGCATGCCTTGGGCATTATCGCACAGTAAGACAATATCGTCCGCATACTCAAGGTCGAGAAGTCTTTCTCCAGGCAACAGATCCACACCACCATTACTTACATTCATCAGAGCTGTTTCCAGAATGTCATCGATGGCAAAGTTGAAGAGGAATGGTGAGATTGGGCAACCCTGCCTAACCCCACTGCTCGAATGGAACAATGGAGAGAGGTGGTTGTATGCCCTCACTCTGCCTGAGGTGTTTTTATATAGGGCTTTTAGGATGTTAATAAACTTCTCAGGCACACCCTTCTTCAATAGACAATCCCAGAGAACAGTCCTGTCCAACGAATCGAAGGCAGCCCTGATGTCAAGAAACACTACGATTGTTGGCCTTTGATAAGTATGGCGGTGTTCTAACATTTGGCGGAGGGTGAAGATATGATCAATACATCCTCGACCAGAACGAAACCCAGCCTGCTCCTCGCGAGTCAATCTTTCTCGGGTTTTGAACAACCTACGAAGTATGACGGAAGCCAATAGCTTGGACGCAATCGGAAGTAAACTTATCCCCCGATAGTTGTTACAGGAACGACGTGAACCCTTTTTAAAGATAGGGACAACTATCGACTCATTCCATGACGTTGGTACACTCTCTAGTTCCCAAACCTTTGTAAACAACGTCGTCAATTCCTTAGTCAAAAAGTCACCACCATCTTTAAAAAGAGCCGGAGGTAAGTCATCTGGGCCAGGTGATTTGTAACGCTTCAAGAGTTGGAGTTCCTTGCGGACTTCCTCCTCGTTTGGTGGATCAGTCGTCACCGGCCATGGAGGGCAGGACAGTCTGACCGATGTTGCCGGAGCAGCAGGCCAGTTGAACTGCCCTTCGAAAAATTCTGCCCATCGTCCAAGACGTCGATGGATGTTAGTGATTGGCATCCCATCATCCTCGCAGATTGTTTCACTCACACCAGACTTCTTGCTGCCAGTGGCTCGGATGAGCTGGAAGAGCTTCCGGTAGTTACCAGATGCAGCTGCTGCTTCCAGCTCATTAGCACGCATCGACCACCAGGCTTCTCGGTCCTTACGCAAGCTTTGCCCAATTTCCTTACGTAACATCCTTCGTTTATGGTCAAACTCACGGTCACCCGGAGTAGACCGACGGGCTTCAATGAGTTGTAAGGAACCAGAAGAAACCCAGTGCTTAAAAGCGGGACGTTTCGCAAACCCACAACTGACTGTTCCCGCCATTTTCATGGCGTCATGCAATTGCAACCAATGCTCATCTATACTTTTCGGTGGAGTGGTAGCTAGCCTAGAGGCTAGCTCGGTTCGATACTTACTTGCAACAGAAGTTGCAACCAGCTTGCTAACATCAATCCGTTGGTGGTGGTCACTTCGTTGTCCACTGAAAAGTAAGGCAAGATTGGCGCAGACCAAGGCATGGTCAGAGTCCAGATAGGTACTCCAAAAGGAGCGGCAGTCTTGTACACAACCACGCCAGCGGTAGCTGATCGCGATGTGATCAATCTGAGTCCAGGCTTGAGATGCAGAGGGAGGACGCCAGGTGGCACATCGGCGATGACTGTGCCGAAAGTTAGTGCTAGCCAGAAACAGGTTGTGGTCTGTGCACAGTTGCAGTAGACGGTCCCCGTTATCTGACCTGCGACCAACAAGTCCCCATCGGCCACCTAAACGACTCTCTTCTGTGCCTAGACGCCCGACCTGAGCATTCAAGTCTCCGGCTAGTACTACAATATCTGTCGAACGCACTTTCTGGAGAAGAACAGATAACTGGTGGTAAAACTCATCCTTGATTGCATCCGGGCTGCAATCTGTCGGGGCATAGGCGGAGATGACGAAAAGACATCGTTTCTCACGCCGATTTCTTCTCACTTTGATGGAACTTTCTAATCTAACAGCACATAACCGACTGTTAATGGGGATCCAATCGACTAGTGCTGCCTCAGCTCTAGCGCTTAGTGCGACACCAACGCCAGCAAGACCAGACGAAGATGCCACAGGGTCCCCGGATAAGCGCACGTAAAACAAGCTTTTCGAAGCGACAGATGGAGAGCGAATTTGTAGTACTTCGCTAGAGTCTTGAATACGGGTCTCGGATAGACAACAAACGTCGATATTAAGACTTTCCAAAGACATAGCCAGCCCTATCTGTTGTCCAACCTGCATAAGTGTGCGAACGTTGAAGGCAGCCAGTTTGAATGGTGCACGTGGTTTCAGAAAAACTGCTTCAGTACTCATATTCGGTGGTAACATACAATTTTCAACCGGACAGTGACTCGAGAACGTTTAGATACAGTCGGATTTCCACCAAAGACGAGCCGCTGTATAAGTATAAAAGAGGGTGAATAATGTGGAAATAATAATAATAATAATAATAATAATAACGACAATAATAGTAATAATAATAGTATTAATAATGACAATAATAGTAATGATAATTATTTGAATCGACTGATTGTTTTTCGGAGCGATAAAAGTAGTTGCCAAAGACATAGAGTTCATCGTTTGTGTGTGGGCTGTGATACTGCCCGGGTGCCCAAACCGAAGCAGGTGGTTTTCTTAGGGGGCCACTCCCCGAGCCTTTGACCTAAAGGTCTAACCCACAAGGCAGTGGAGCATCGTAAGGAGATGCAATCCCATGGTAGCCGGTGACCGACAATTGGTTCATACGCCATTTGTTCCCGCAGGATACTGGAGCCCATGTGCACCATTGGTTTGTGATCCGGTTAAAGCGCCGGACATTCGCTTTTCGTCCTCTCATTTTCGTAAACAACACCCCCGCCACGAGAAGGCAATGAGTAGGACTTCCCTGGCAGAGGCTGTATACGCGCGGCCGTGTGAGAGTATTTCTAGAGGGAGAGCGGACTCACCCCACTCTCGGCCGTACCAGGGCATTCGGGGGCTCCGTGGTAGAGACTGTGTATGCGTAGCCGTGTGAGTGTATTTCGAGAGAGGGAGGGCGAACCCACCCCACTCTCGGCCATACCAGGGCATTTGGGTGCAGAGTCCTATGTACAACACCTATCTATTCTAGGTCAAATCTTGCTAAGATGTATTGGTGAAAATCAATAAAACGAGATTAACGTCCAACAATTATTCATTAATACATGAATTGTTCTTAATAAATATAGGTCAAAGATTTTGTCAACTGATGGTCACGGTAATACAAAAGATCGATGAATTACTAAAACCCTGTGAACCAACTTCGTATAGAATGAATCAGTACAAATCAAAATGTACTGATAGCCAATCAACAGTATTCACTTTAAATATATATGCGAATGTTAATATTGATTTCTTTCTAAATGATGTATTGCAGTGGCTTGCACTATGTCGCTTGTTTAAATTGAGTTGGTTCACGTGCCTTCTCCAATGTGCTTCGTTCTTCCCTATTTGTTTCGTCTTCTTGGTTGTATGTTCAAATCAATAATGGGTGCATGAAATATACATATTTCAATAACATTCGTACGATGCAATTGAAGTCAGATACCGGGTCACTAATGTACTTCGGGGATTCAGCATCCCCAATACCAATTGAAATATCCAGTGAACTCTGTTCACTAACTTTCAGTGCATTTAGGTTGTAACTGTTTATTTAATTCTCAACGCGTTCCCATTGTAGTAATTATTTTGCTATTATTTTGTTTTCAATGATGAATACTCAAATGGTAAAACTCGCTAATTTATAATCATTAAGCTGTTCATATAAGTTTTTCTTATCACAAACTAATCTCGGTTAGACTATCATTGGGAACTTGAAACCCCTGGACTACCGCTATGTTTTAGTATGGTACTCCTCAGAAGTGCTCATCCACGACCCCGCAACAGAAAGTTGAACCTTTGATCTCCTATCTTGACAGTTGATGTGGTTGGGACCAGTGGGATTAAACCACGTCAGCTGTGAAACAGTTTTCCGTTGTAGGTAATGGGATATGGTCACGCAATATCGTGAATTGACTAGTTAGATATTATAATAACTGTTGAATACCGGCTCAGATCCAGAGGTTAAGCATTTATATCCGAAAATGAAGGTCCTGAGTTCGATTCCCGATCACGCTGTCATAGATGTGCACTTCCAAGGGGTCTGATAAGCGGCTTTCGAGTGCATCCAGGCTTCCAATGTTGGTCTAAGATCAATTCGTGATTTAAAAAAACTATAAAAATTCTAGATTCTGCAAAAAGCTCTCTATTGTTAATAATCATTGAACTGTTTTAAAATCCCCGTCATATTGAGCATCGATATATAAACGAAGAATATTGTTTTCTATAAAATTTCTTAAGGTTCTACAACTATACATCCAAATTATTAGTTCAAAAAGTGGCATGATTCAGGGTAAATACATCTTATAATTATAGCATATGAATTTAGGATTTTTTAAAATAAAATAAGAATATTAGAGTGACTAATGTGAAATATCAATTGTAAATGAACTTATGAGATTAATGATCCGAATATATATAGGTAACGCAAAGTGAAAGAAGTAATAATGTAAATAGAAATCCAACCAAATGTTTGATGAAAGACCGTATAATTTATGAAGTTATATGAACTCAATAAGTAATAATAGAATGCGGTGAAACTACTTATTTTCTTTTAACCAAATAATTAAGGAATGCTAGTTTGCATTCAACCTAATGCTATCCGATAAATTATTTACCCATTCATATATATTCTGTTTAAACCATCATTTCTGTTTCTTTATGGTCTGGTTTAACAGTATTGTATCATTTTTTTCACGATAATAGTTGTCGATCATTCCCCTTAAAACGCCTGTTTACTACTTTGATGTTTATTGCTAGGTTTCTTTCTCTGTTATTCATCCATTCGTATAGTTTCTGTGTATGGATAATTTGAAGTGATTTGATTGTAACTCGGTACAAAATTCACTACTCAGTTTCCCTTCTTTTACTTTTTCAAGAATATTAATGACTCGAAATACATGTGATCTAATTGAGCTTGGTATGGATACAGATATCAGAAAGTATATGGATTTTGAGTACATGGATGAATTGTCATCTGGAAAGTGTGGAGAACACGTGTGAGTTTCTAATACTTTTTTCAATTTGAAAAATGTTGGAGTCCTTGAGAAAACTTTTCCACCTTCATTGAAACTGGGTTATTTGGCATGACCAAGTAAGGTCAGTTAATAACTAAATTCAGGATTTCATATTACACTATCTTAGCTTCAGCCTCTGTTTCAAGTCAAATTCTACTTCTAAGTTGTTCAAACCGACTTCTGGAGGACTTGTTCAGACATGGATTATAGACGACGGCACGAATAGTCGTAACAGTTTTGATTTTAAAAGGTCCAGGTGTCAGTTTAGGGATCCTTCCCTAACTATTCTCTGTGATTTAAATTTATGGGGATACATTTTTGCTAATGTTAACCAATTATAACTGGCTAATTTGATTGCAGAAGAGAACATGGCCTTAACGTCTTCGTTAAGCAGGTCCTTTGCGAAGAGTCCAATCTTGAACACTAAAATTTTCTTATGCCTCCTCTTCGAATACGTTTTTTACTTGCTGGTTAGCTAACTAAGTGTTTTCACGTTCTTAATTTTTCCTTCCAGACCAACTTTTTCTGTATCTTCTCTCTGACGTTTTCCATCAAATTTAGTATGAAGTCGTTCAGTCTTCACTTTCGTATTATCTAATAATCTGAGCATAACCTATAAAGTATTATTCTGTCTAAATTTAAACGCTGATACTGTCTCAGAAGGCTGTAAAAACTGACCTTCGGTTTAATAAAGACCATGGGCTTGTTTTGCAAATTATTCAGTATGACCGTAAAGTATACAAATAGACTTCAATGAAACTACACATATTCTGATCTGTTTGAACCAATATAGTGCTAGTCCCCACTCAGTGGGTCAGTTAAATGCAATGTATAACCTGGCATGTGTATGAGGAGGAAGTCCGCAAGGAACTCCAACTCTTGAAGAGTTACAAATCACCTGGCCCAGATGACTTACCTCCGGCCCTTTTTAAAGATGGTGGTGACTTTTTGACTAAGGAATTGACGACGTTGTTTACAAAGGTTTGGGAACTAGAGAGTGTGCCAACGTCATGGAATGAGTCGATAGTTGTCCCTATCTTTAAAAAGCGTTCACGTTGTTCCTGTAACAACTATCGGGGGATAAGTTTACTTCCGATTGCGTCCAAGCTATTGGCTTCCGTCATACTTCGTAGGTTGTTCAAAACCCGAGAAAGATTGACTCGCGAGGAGCAGGCTGGGTTTCGTTCTGGTCGAGGATGTATTGATCATATCTTCACCCTCCGCCAAATGTTAGAACACCGCCATACTTATCAAAGGCCAACAATCGTAGTGTTTCTTGACATCAGGGCTGCCTTCGATTCGTTGGACAGGACTGTTCTCTGGGATTGTCTATTGAAGAAGGGTGTGCCTGAGAAGTTTATTAACATCCTAAAAGCCCTATATAAAAACACCTCAGGCAGAGTGAGGGCATACAACCACCTCTCTCCATTGTTCCATTCGAGCAGTGGGGTTAGGCAGGGTTGCCCAATCTCACCATTTCTCTTCAACTTTGCCATCGATGACATTCTGGAAACAGCTCTGATGAATGTAAGTAATGGTGGTGTGGATCTGTTGCCTGGAGAAAGACTTCTCGACCTTGAGTATGCGGACGATATTGTCTTACTGTGCGATAATGCCCAAGGCATGCAATCCGCACTTAATCAGTTGGCAATCAGTGTCCATAGGTACGGAATGTGCTTTGCACCTTCGAAGTGCAAAGTAATTCTACAAAACTGACAGGATCCTAATCCTGTACTCACCCTGGATGGTGAGCAGATAGAAGTAGTCGAGAAGTTCGTGTATCTGGGTAGCTGCATAAGTGCTGGTGGGGGTGTGAGTGATGAGATCAATGCACGTATAGTGACAGCCAGAGTGGCTTATGCCAATCTGGGCCATCTTTGGCGCCTTCGTGATGTAAGTCCGGCTGTAAAAGGTCGGATCTACAGCGCGTCGGTGAGAGCAGTTTTTCTCTATGCTTGTGAAACCTGGCCTCTCCGAGTTGAGGACGTTCGACGACTCTCTGTGTTCGATCATCGCTGTCTCCGAAGAATTGCTGACATTCAGTGGCAACACCATGTCAGTAATGCAGAGGTTCGGCATCGTGTGTTCTGGCGCAGAGATGATAATCCGATTGGTGTCACTATCTTGAAACACTGACTTCTGTGGCTTGGACATGTTCTACGAATGTCGTCCCAGGGAATTCCACGTCGAGCATTATTTGCCGACTCTGGGACTGGTTGGAAGAAGCGGAGAGGTGGTCAGTGTATGACATGGTGTCGTGGCATGAAAGAAAGCTGCAAAGGACTGGCTTGTGTTGATCTTTCACGACTCCCTGGTTGGGGTCTGAGAGATGGTGCTACACAGTGGCTAGAGACGTTATCAGATATGGCTCAGAATAGAAGCCAGTGGCGATCCTGCTGTAACCTTCTTTTACTTTCTTCATAAAATGTGGTTCTGTCTCCCTTACCTGAAAGATTTCTTCCGATTGTACCTTTGCGTTCCCTGATTACTAGCACATTACCTTACACCAATCTCTTCGTTATTGTTCTCTCTTTTTTTGTTGCGCTCCTTAGCTTTTTTTCTTTCTTTGTATTCCTCTCGAATTTTCATTGTTTTGTGTGGCGCATATATATTGGCGCTCTCTTGTACCAATATTCATGTGGTCAAATAATAATAATAATAATGTATATCTGTCGGTGAGATAAAATCGTTAGAGAAAATCCCAGAGTCGTAGACTTCGTGATAGTATGAGTGGTAATAGAAAACACTCGACATCGAAAATACGATTCAAGAAAATATAAGTTAGCGAAATCAAAAAATTATGGGGAATTCAGGGGCTGATAATAATGACAAATTTAAATGATAATTGTCGTCATCAGAGTTAATTGAATTTATTCATAGTTTTTAAGTTCACGAACAAAATAAACTTTACAATCAAAATTAAAAGTAATTTTACAGGAAATTAATTTGAACATTAGCCTTTTTACAAGCTTTTAACCGTTTGTCCTTAGTTTTACTTTGTATGTAAATTATTTATCCCATATTTCCCAGTTATATATCTCCTGAACAAATTCATTGCCATCTTTTAACACTCTCTGGAATCCCATCATCATTTTTTGCAACATTACTGAATTTGGATTTTATTCGACAACGTAATCGGCAAGCTGGGAAACTTTTAAATAACAATACTGCTACTCATGCAGTTGCAGAAAATCTCATAAATCTACCATTCTTTTTGCCAGTTGTTGAGACCAATCAAGGCTTACTATCGGCTGATGATTTTAGTAATGGGTTGTCAACTAAACAACAGTTGAATAATAAAACAAGTAATCGTAAACGACGTGGATTGTTGGATAAAGATTTCGAACTCGCTATTGAACCTATACAAAACTTATCTATGAGACTTATTCGAGCGAAATCAAATGATGACTGTAAGTGTTATTGGTGCATTTTTAAATTTTTAAACCACTCTTTTTTAAATAGCCTACTGCTTTTCCCTTTTAATCATATTCTGTAGACTTTTGAAAGCACTGTTGAATCAAGTTTTTCTGTAAATCTAAAGTAATATCTACAGACGTAAATCAAAAAGCTTAATGATATTCTTCTATAAGTAACAACATTCATGACAGCATACTGATTTGTTGATCGGACATATTTGAAGTGTAGCAACACTATATTTTTGTTAAATCACCCATAGCAGAAAATTATCACTTTTCTGTCCTTTTATAAATTACTAAAGATGTAACCAAAGTAACTCATGATGTCATTGAAGAAGAACTTAAGATAACTGCGAGAAAATTTTCTTTTCTACGATATCACTTAGGTCGTACAATTGTATCTACAATTCATTAACACGTAAGGTAATCTGCTACAAAAAATAGAAGGATGACTGCACAATTTTAGGTGCCATAAGAAACGTAATAATCGCTAAGTTAAAGAAAGAGGACCAGATAAAACTGGAAAAGTGAAAGGTGAAGAATGAATGAAAAACTTGGTAAGAATAACGTATAGTTATATACAAATTAAAGACATTCAAAGGAAGTATCAAAGGCACTTTGCCGTCTGTGAAAAGTAGGTGTCATGACCATAGAAAAATAATGGTTTTCACGAATCGCTGTTGGCGCAGTAACCTCCGGTTTAAAAAAAACACATCGAAAACCCTTCTGTATTAATTTTTTCTCTACAGCCACACTGTTTGATTGTATACAATTTGAAGAATGTATCCGACGGAGCAGTTTGACTGCAGTTAACATGATGTCTTAGTATTGATCAATCTATTGTTTTAAGTACGCTTCTCAGAAACAACCCAGGATCCGATTTGTCTGGCCAATGTGACCTGATCCAGAACACTGAGTAAACACAATCACACACTTATGTAGCCCTATGCGGGAGTTTATCTTTCACAAATCCACAAAAGCTGAAGGAGTTTGTAAAGGTTAAGCAAAGCTAGCTTACCAGCTTAAAAAGTTGTAAAAAGATGTATTTGTGCCTTTTATTCGTATATTCTTTTTTACTCATTCTAGTCGATAAGATTTCTCATGACTTAAAATCAGTTGGAATTACTGGACTAGATTTGGAAATTCTTCTACTTGTTCCATCAGCTGAAGAGGAAATGCCTTGTTTAAATCCTAAACGAACAAAAGCATTCTATGATCATGTGACCAATCCTTACTTAAAACTGCATGGATTTCTTCGATATATAATTAATCGGTAAGCGAATGTTCATTTTATTGTAATTACTTCTGTTGTTTAGTACCGCCTCCAGTTCTCGACACCCTGTGATCCTCGATTCATCACTTTCCCGTTTGCCCGAGAATTTCAAGTTAGGACTTGCCTCTTGATTCAGTTCAATGGTTTCTACAATGTCTTACCCACCCAACGCTTTTTCTTAATTTCCTTAACTGGAAGTAAGTTTCTTCTCAGTCAGAGTATGTTATTGCTGATGGTCTCTAGCCAATGGATCCGGAGTATCTTGCGTAGACACCTGTTTATAAACATCTGTACCTCATTATGGTGGTTGTGGTAGTTCTCCAAGTCTCAGCTCTTTACGATATAAAACTGCTTTGACGTTAGTGTTGAAAATTGTGACTTTAGTGTTGAGTTCCAGATATTCTTCAGTTGTAGGAATGCTACCCTAGGTTTGTTGATTAGTGCTTTCACGTCCGAATCAGATCCTCCCTGTTTATCGATGTCGCTGTCTAAGTAGTGGGGGTTTCTACTTCTTCTAGAGCTTCGCCATCAAGTGTGATTTGGTTGGTGCTCATTGTTTTGCGTTTCATTATCTTTCTTTTTCTCTTGTGAATGTGTTATAGCCCAAAGCCGCCAATCAGAAGCAGCGAATTATCGAGTGGACCAAGGACGCGTAAAACACGTGCGAGCAGCCTAGAGTTCTGGTTGGTCCTGCTTTCCTTCTAGCCCAGCCAGTTAAGTCCAGAACATCAGTCTCAGCCTCGTTATATTTCAAACATACTGAGTTTGTATACCAATCAAACAGACGACAACGTAGCATAAAATAGAAAATAACATTTGTACAAAATATGGCCAAATGTGGCTGTGAATGTGGGAGGCGGTGACTAACAGACAGGGCATAATTCAAGAATGGTAAAACATATAATAATGGTTCATAGGTCAAAGTAAATCTTATAATAAGAGGAACATGAATATGAATAGTTTAGTTATTTAACAATTATACGATAAAAATATACGTTTAGTATTGGTCCATAAAAGGATCCCAAAGTTACCATTCATTATGTTTCTCGGGACCTAACAGAATGTTGAGGTCTATTTCTGTGGAAGAGGCTAGTACGTTGGATATATTCGTCTGCATTTGTTTTCGTGTATGCAATCGGGGGTCTGAGTCATCTCCAAAGTCCATATCGTCCAATTGTGTCCACCGTATTCCATGCTCCTCCTCAGATATAAGGGTTCTCATTATCCAGTCGACAGATAGCAGCAAGAAAATGGACGAAAATATGGAGCCTTTTTTGACATCGGTCCTCACTTGGAACGCCTCAGTGCGTTGCCGTCCATGAACAATTGTTCATTTCCTTACAAAGCCCATTTTGTTGGTCTCTAGGTTGAACGTTATGCATTACTTCATTCAGTTCAGTAACGCTGTTGCAGACCTTATTTTATTTATTTATTTATTTTAACACATATGTATTAGTACAAGGAAGCGCCAAATACGTATGCGCCACACAGATCTCATTTGATTTGTGTGAGGGCTGTGATTCTGCCCACGTGTCCAAACCGAAGCAGGTGGTTTTCTTAGGGGGCCACACCCGCAGCCTGCGACCTGATTGTCCGATCCACAAGGCAGTGGAGCAACGTAAGGAGATGCAGTTCCATGGAAGCCGGTGACCGACAACTGGTTCATACGCCATTTGTTCCCGCAGGATACTGGAGCCCATGTGCATCATTGGTTTGGAATCAGTGTTTTCCAACTCTCGTAGGTGGACTCTCCGTGTCCACCAGCCCGGTTTAAGTGTCGTCCATTCGCTTGTCGTCCTCTCAATTTCGCAAACAACACCCTTACCACGAGATTGCAGTTAGTAGGATTACCCTGGGAGAGGCTATATACGCGTGGCCATGTGAGAGCATTTCGAGAGGGAGAGCGGATTCAACACACTCTCGACCGTACCAGGGTATTTGGGGGCTTAGTACTGACAGTAGAATAATGCCTCTTTCGTTCTCACAATTACTAAGGTCTTTCCTCGGTTTTGACAAAGCATTTCTCCTTCCAGCCTATTGATTCCTGTTCTTCTTCCGAAATCTCTTATCCCTGCTTCAGCTGGTTTTTCGCTCTTCATATTACTAATAGTCTTGCTGATTTCTTCTATTATTTGTGCGTCATCTGTTCAGAAGGTTTTAGATTGTGCTTCGATGTAAGATTCAGTGGAGTGGTCTATTCAAGAGCTCTTTTTTGTTGTTGACTGATCTTTTGGTTTACCATATTTCTCTGTTAGCTACTTGGATGTATACTCTATTCATATAATTATCCTTTAAGGTTGGTATCTATTTATTTCTCTTTTATTTATTGACTCTGCTTTTTTTATTGCACTAAATATGAGTTGTCTTGTATTCTCTCTTAACAACAGGTTTCAATCGAATCGAGATTTCGATCTTGCTTGCGCTTGTTTGGAAATTTTGTTGCAACAGCATAGTGATATTTTATTCCGACATTGTCATGTACAGAACAATTTGTTTAATCAAAAACCGGACGAACTAAATGAAAAGTATCTACAGATAGTGATAAAAGACCAAATGAAATATGATTCGATGTCCCCTTATTTCGTTACATTAATTTTAGTTAACCAAGCAATAAAGACTAAAAGAAAAGCACAATCGAACTTAACACATTGTATTACTCAATCTTTATGTTTAGTTGATTTCATTCGTAATCCTGTGACTGCATTGCAGTTATAAATAATGATTAACATATTGCTATTTTTTTCAAAAATTTCATGCAATTGGTTCCCTTTATGAATTTAAATAGAGCAAGAACAAATATTGATGAAGATTAGTATAAATTCATATTATTTCGAGGTTTCTCGTCAGCTGCTTACAAACCAAAAATGTAATAGAATTTTTACATTGAGATAGTGTGAAAGCAATTGACATAAATGAGTGTAAATAACTGGATTACAATAATAACTATATATATATATATGCTAGAACAGGTCAGAGGTTAAAAAAGGAATTAATTCAGGGTGGGTGGTGTAATAGTTTAGTGAAGTCCATAAATTGTGTGATAATTTTAGAGATTAATGGAATTGAATAATGATCAGATGGATTACGTAATAATAATGAAATAGAATTTCAAAAGTTAACATAATTTAGGAGGATCAGGTGGTGGAAATGTGTGAATAAAAACTTGGTTTAAGAATTAGGTTATAGGTGGAGGGGTATAACAAAATAAAAATTTTAAAATAAATAAATGAATAAAATAACCCAAATAACGAAAACGCAAAAAAAAGATTACCAAGGTAGTGATAAGCTTATTAAAGTCTCTTTTTGAATGCGTAAGTCCGGTTTAAGTTTTTTGATCGCAATGGCTTCAGCAAAACGGAGGGTGGTCGTACTGCTTTGTCTGTTGATAATTTTGAAAGCGTGCGGGATGTCGACGGCATGCCCGGTGTCAAGGAGATGCCGAACTATTGCACTGTTGAAAGCCTTAGTCCCTCGCGGCCTCAAGTTTTTCGGAACATGCTCAGAAATGCGGACATGCACTCTTCTCTCGGTTCTTTCAATGTATGTGCTTTGGCATGTACATGTGAATCGGTAAATGCAGTTGGAGCTACTAAGAAAAGAGGACTTGTCGATTTTGGTTTGTTTAAGTGAGCAGTTCGTTTGCCATACTGTCGTAAGTTTTGCTGCTGGGTAGGCCACTTTCAACGCAGAGTTTAGTCTGTGATTAATTATTCCGGCAATTTCATCACCTTTGAAACGTAAGTGTAAGAAGCAGGTTTTCTTTTCTACTCCATCGTATTTTGTACGAGGATTGGTTTTTGCATATTTCCGGATAAATTTCAATGGGTATTCATTATCACGTAGAACATTAGTAATCAGATTAATTTCATCATCAAGGTATTTTGAACAAATTTTTTCGAGCGCGGTCAAAAAGGGTTCGTACAATACCCTTTTTGTAACTCAGGCAGAAACTGTTTGCAATTGAGATATAGACTACTCCAGGTATTTTTATGGTGATTGTGTCTATGTAATTTACCATCAGATGTTCTTCGATCCCAACATTAAGGAAATGGAATTTGTCTTCAGCTTCTTGTTCATTGTAAACTCTATGTCATCGTGTGCTTTATTAAATAGATTGAGTAGCTTAATGGAGTGTTCGTGATTGTTGCAGACGAGGAATGTGTCGTCAATATATCTGCAATATAGCGTAGTATCATCGATTACGTTCTTAAGCTTTTTTTGTTCTAGGTTTCCTATAAATATATCGGCAAGAATTGGACCTAATGGGCTACTCACGGCAACTCCATCGATTTGGCGATAAAGGACATTATTGAATTGAAATTTTATGTTTTTTGTACACAAAAAGAGGAGCGGTTTTAAAATCGTGGATTGGTAGAGGTAGAAGTTCAGGATATTCACATATGATCCTTATCGTTTCTTCCAAGGGGATGTTTGTGAAGAGCGATGAGACGTCAAATGAAACCATAAATTTACCGGAAACATTTAGGTTGTCGAGTTTTTGTACAAATTCAAAACTATCTTTTAGACTGTAAGGTGTTAGTTTCGAATTGGTTCTAGGCACTTTGTCAGCCAGCGGGCGAGTTTATGGAAGGGCGAATTAGCCACTGATAATATTGGTCTAATCGGGATGTCGTGCTTGTGAGATTTAGGTAGGCCGTATAGATACGGTAATTGCAATGCTTTAGGTTTAAGTTCATTGTATGTATGATTATCTATTAGATTTTTCTTCAGGAGTTCTCTCAACATTCTTTAGAGACGCTTCTCTGTCGCATCTGTTGAGTCTTTCTGGGTATTGTCGATAATAAACCTAGTGGAGTCATTTAATATAGACGTTACTTTATTAATATATTCATCTCTGTTAAGAATGACTACACCGGAACCCTTATCCGGACGAAGTAGCATTATTGTTTCGTCTTTAATAAGTTTTCCCAATGCTTGATACTGATCTTTAGTGAATAACTTTGATTGTGTGATTGGTGTCGTAACATACTGATTTGTGTTATCCACTAATTTAGATTTGAACCAACTTTGTTTTACGTCGTTCATGGGCTTTAGGTCTGACAACTGTTGATATAAATATTCGAACTGCGTCTCAGTGTCTCTTCTGTTACATTTTTTCGGGATATGAAATTTGAATCCAAGGGAGAGTGCCCCAGTTCCAATTCGCCTTAGTTTTTTATTCGATAAGTTCTGTATGTATTTTCGTGGATTAGTAGGAAATGCCACATGGTTTTGTTCTTTAATAAGTGTTTTAGTCAATGTCTTCAGGAATTTATGACTAGTTTTAGACTGAACATCGCGAATGAAGTTAATGAGTTTAATACGACATATAATATTTAAATCCATAACAATTTGTCCTAACCAAGGTATTGTATTCTAAGTTTAGAGATAAGTTCCTTAGTGCACTCGATTTGGATTTGGTGACACGTCGAAGATTTTTAACGAAGAAGGTATTTTCAAGCACCGACAGCTTTAATAATGTGACAAGGGAAGCAGCCATCATTGAGGCATGTACGTGAATTTCTTTCGAAACAGAAACGGTAATGATAACGTAATAAAGAAAAAAAATCCGGAAAGCCGTTTTTTATTTACTAAAATGCGTATAGATTTGGTTGCGAACTTAAGTTTTATGTGGAAATATAACCAGAAGCAGTGAATAATAATTTATCTATTCCTCGTTGACGTTTATAATTGCATGTTTATTATATCGCAAGTAGGTAGGGTTACATTTGGTGGAGATGGAGTTAGGTTTAAACTAGCCAATTTTCTATTGAATGCCTTAGTTTTGTGTAATTTAGTCTATTACGCAAGTACATAAAACAGTTTTCCTTTGCTAGATTCAACAATATAATTCTACAAAAATATTTCAATGAATATACTAAGTAAACAAAGAGAAACCATTTCCATAATTTTACAACTAATTAACTAATAGCTTCCGTAGTTTGTCAAGGCTTCTTCTTTCTCTGTTCACATAATCTTGCACGGTGTTCTGAGTCGCTGAACTTCCTATTTAGAAACTGCCCAAGAAGATTGCCCACGTTGTGTTACGTCCGAGTGAAGATTAAACTAAGTGTAACTTATGAGAACTATGAATGGACTGATATTGTATATGTTTATTCTTATTGTATAACTGTTTTGTAACTATATTATGTATGTCTATATTCGTCTTATTGTAAGCTTCGTTTTGACCTATAGATTATTATTATACAAATTGCTGTCCTTTAATTATGCTCAGTTTATTAATTGCCGTCTCCTACGTTCACAACCACATTGTGACTTGATCATGTGTAAATGTTACTTCCTATTTCATAGTGTGATGCGGTCTGTATGGCTTGTATATAAACCAAATATGATTGAAATAAACGATTCGCATAGTGTAAGCTGTTGTTGGCGTTCTGGACTCAATTGGACGGGCTAGGGGAAAAAAGGACCGATAAAGTCGCTAGGCTGCTCATACCGGTCGAAAGTCATTGGCTTATCACAGTACTAATATTGAATAAGTCGTATTTCGGTTAGTGAATAAACCATGTGATAACTCGCCGGGCTTAATGTTACAACACACAGTGCCCGGCCTTTCGGTTTTCTGTGAAGTGCCAGCATTTTCCAGTATGTGGTTGGCGTGACGCATCCACTTTTGACCTTCAACTTCCACCATATACATGACATTTCCTCGTCTCCTAAGGATGTGTTCACTGGTCATTTGCGGAATTGAGCATCGGAAATCACGAATGTATACTTTCTGATTATTTTGTAAGATTCTACGTTTCATCCTATGATGACGATTAAATTGTTTCCACCTTCCTGTCTTTGGTTCTGTGGCATTGAGAGCAGTTTTATCTTTTCTACTCAACATAATTTCTGCTAGAGACAAATGACTTAGGGCTGATGGATTATGAGATGTTCTGTAGACCAATAGAAAAACATCAATTTCCTTAATCTTCCCTTCCCTTTTAGCCTTCAATGGCGCTCTTCTGAGAGTATCCACAAACCTTTCGGCTTGACCATTCGATTGTGAATGATTTGAGGGTAGAAGAACATGTGTAACTGCGTACCTGCTACAGAAATATGAGGAAATGGAAGAAGTAAACTGAGTGCCGCTCGACACAGGAACATCTGGCAATCCGAAACTAGAGAACAACTGCCGAAACTTCATAGTAGTCTCTTGCGAAGTGATTTGGTTCATGGAAAGAATCTCTGGTCATTTTGAATAATCATCGACACAAACGAGAAAATATGTACCTGTGATAATCAGGAGTATTTAAATTATAGTATGAACTAAGAATCCCAGAAATAACGTAATCGTATCAAGAAGTACTAGATAACCACAGACGAATATACTGTATTTAGAATTCGAAACCAAGCATTCAACAAGTACAATGGAATCATTAATTCATTCAAACATCACATTCGCCACAGCTTAAATTGGAGTCTAGGTGTCTGTAATTGATTGTACGTCTTCTTCTTAAATTCCTCCTGTGTCTGTCCGACAATGTATTGGATAAAGACTCTGTATTATCTAGAATGTACGCATTAGCATGAGAATTAACAACAGAAATCGAAACAGAATCACTTGGTTCCAGGGATTGTATACAATCGCCGTGTCGGTTGTGTGTAGCGTGGCGTCGAGCCGAGACTAACTATGAACACCGCTACCAAGAAACACGTGCCAAATAGGTCAGAAGGCGAAGGTTGGACGTAACAAAATGAATCCATAAAATCC